CAATTTGACGAGATACGATAATTGCGAAAATTCTTAACCTAATAAATAATTCTCTCTTAAAAAAAAACAGTGCAATCACGTAAAATCCAATAGTCAGTGAAAAATAATTGATTGAAGAGAATTTAGCGTGTGGATTTTGGTCTTGACCATCAAAAACACTTCGATTGGATCTCTGCAACGAGAATGGGAGTATCAGATACATTGAATTATGTTCTGTTTTCTAATCCCGTCAGCTCGAGTGCCGGTTCATTTGCGTAAACTGCTGCATCAGCTGTAAGTTGCTGTTATTTTTTAATAAAAAATAAGACGAATCAATTTGTTTATTGTAATTGCCTGATTTTTGAAGACTGGGTAATGCTTTCATATTTTATTCTATTTTTGAAACTTTGAGGTCATGTAGATACCACACATCCCATAAACCAAAGCCATATGTTACATTTTTTCCTGCTATTTTAAATGATCATTTTTTAAATAGTCCCACCAGTGCCGACCAGCTGCAGAGTGGGGATGACATGGTGATGAGGGGAAGGTGATAGTGACCACCACGCTGTCTCGTGCCGCCTGAGAGAACTCGTCCCCTGCTTTTGGTTTGACAATACCTGCTTTGAAATTTTTTTGAAATTACACTGGATTATTTAAAAAATGGAATTATCTCTCAATTTTATTAGCTGTTAAAAAATATATGACCATGCCATGTATAAATATCGTATATACAGAATGCTTCATAAAAATAATACAGAATCAACTGAGACTTTCTTCCTTCTTATGTATCTTGGTGTGTCTCGCTAATTTAGATCTTGTGACAAATCCCTTGTTGCAGAGCTGACACACAAATGGTCGTTCCCCGGTATGAACTCTCTGATGTACCTTCAAGTGTCCTGATTCGTAATATGATTTGCAACACAAATTACACTCAAATCTCTTAACTCCATTATGATACTTCATGTGTCTATTTAATTCTGGCTTCGATAGAAATGACGTAGCACACAGATGACAGGGATATTTTCGTTTATCCTCGTGTTTCTGGACGTGCCTCGCTAATTCAGAATTGGTGTAGTAACTCTGGCCACATGTTGTGCAGTTGAATCGATTTCCCAGTGTGTGCCTTTTCACGTGCATTTTGAATGACTGAACGTTACGAAATACTTTATCACAAGTTGAACACATCATGGGCGAAGTGACATGGGTTCCTTTATGATGTCTCAACTCAGATCTCTTGGTGAATTTAATTCCGCACTCATTGCAAATCAATTGCTCCTCCTTCACCTGACATTTCTCATGATGTTTTTTCAGTATTAATTTGCTGAATGATTTTTTACAGTAACGACACTTGAATAATTTCGATCTCTGGGACTTGTTCAGCTTTTTCGAGGATAAAGTTGATACACTGGTAGATATTTTATCACCAGATTCAATGAAAGATTCAAGTGAAACTGTCTGTTTACTGCTGGTGACGCCATCCTCGAGGATTTCATTCTCTGAGGAAAAGCAGTGCTCGGTTATGTGATTCTTCAGGTCCTCCACGGACTCAAATTCACTGAAGCACAATTGACAGCTTGTCATGTCATTCAGGAATGATTGATCGTTATCGAAGTCACAGGGTTTCTGGAGTTGAAGTTCTTCCTCGTAGGATTTATTGTGAAATGTCTTATCACCTCGCAGTCTTTTCAATTCGTCTTTATTTATTTTTGCTACTGGACACTCTGATTTCATGAGTTTTTCGTGCTCGTGGCTTTCCTCCAGGTCATTGATCTTCCAGACCTGAAGCCCTTCGTTAGTCGATACCAATAATGCATAATTCATTATGTCTTTCATATTGAATTCGTCGTTCTCGTCTTCCAAAATGTCTTTGTACTCGTTATCTGTCATATCTTTAAACATATTCATCTCCATATCTCCAGGTTGATCCGGCAACTGGGCAGTCTTCAAGCAAGAACGAAGGGCCTTGTCGGACATCTCCACTAGTAGACGAAAATCGTGGAATTGATTCACCTGTCGTCGACACATGTGACATATTGATGTTGGAAGACCATCAGTCGGAGTAATCTGTAATATATTTAAATAATTATCGATTCATCTAAAAATTTTCACGTGCTATTGATAACACGTGACAATTTCATCAAAAATTCAGAATTTTTGTGAGAATTTTTAATTAAACTCACGTCTACACGTGCAATTGATGTTATTTTTTCAGCAAGTACTGCCATATGAGTGTCTTGATCAATTTCATCGAATATCGAAGGCATTCCATTCCCCTGCTTCAGACATAACCGGCAAATCTCATTCATCAGTCTTTTACTGCTGTGAAATGTCGTCATCGTGTCGTCCATTTAAAAAATCTGAAATAAAAATGATCAATCAATAAATTTCCACCAAAACAATCATCACAACACTGCATTGTTCAATAAATTATTTTATAATCATGAGAAACTTTTCACATTGTTCAGATGTAAATTATGAATTCATGAAAAGAGCATCTTACTCTCACAAATACATAAGGCCACAAAATTATCAGCTGTTGTTGTCAAATCAATGGTGAATAATCCTTCATAAAACTCCAGGAACACTTTCCATTTCCTCACGCAGAAATTCGTTGGATATAAATTTTCGTACATGTGTGGATTATGACAGCTGCGTTATATCGCCATTTTGAATTATTTTCATAAATTTTTGAGATTACTGCAGGTAATGACAATACCGGCAGAGCCCCGGGAAATTATTCAATTGGAATTTATTGAATGTTTTATAAAATAATGCGATGTAATATGAAAAATGAAAATTCATTAGAATAATTCATGTGTATTTAAAAATTAGACAACGATTACTTATCGAATAGCTCGAAGTGAAAATGAAAACAGCATTTGAATCGACATCGCATGTTTATCAAATGAAAAACCCCCGATAATGATTTGATGGGCTGATAAGGCTTTGTTATTCTTTAGTGGAAGCTCATCGTTAACCACTGCCTGCAAGACAACGCTGTATTCAATAGCGAATATGTATTTATGTCACTTTTATTTTCAAGTTGAAAAGGGGTAAATAATAATCAAGGCTATCGATCGATTTGTTTTCCACTATTCCAGGGCATGAAAATAAGAGAAAATGCGATCAGTTTGTTTGTCGTCTGCTAACGGTTCTGCATAATCTTCCCTAAATATTGCCTTATTCCCATAATTTTAATTATTCCCCGGATCTCTATTAAAAATGAAAGTAACTAATCGAACTAGAGCTATCCCAAATGATTCACTGATACCAGTTGCACTAGATAGCAAGCAAGTCTTGATTAATGTGTAATTACATGTAATTAAATACTGAGAATTGCTAGGAAAAATTCATTCTGCTTTCATTGATTTTTATTTCTTCAATTGCAATGAGAAAAATTGAAATGGCGAGCTGTTGGTCTTTTTTACAGAGACAGATGTCTGTAATCAATATTTGAAGACAAACTTTCGAATTTTTCCTGGCGATCTCATTCTGGATTTTTTTTTTCTTCGTGTACCAGCTTGTCAATTTTCTTTGATGACACTCTGGAGTAACGAAGGACGAGACGTGCAAATAATTCAACGGAGAGAAAATACAAAGTCCACATGCCAGTTATACTTTGTCTTTCCATCTCTCCGTTTCATATTTCTCAAAAGAATTTAGAATCGAGAAGTTGCGTTGATTGATTGAATTCAAATGACATTATGGTTTTTTAGAGTTTTTCCCTCTGAATACGAAATTGGAAGGTGGACTCCACTGAAGTCCGATCCACCAATAGCCGAGAGTAAGATTTTTAATTAGTGGGGAATAATTTTTTTAATTCGGGTACTTGGATGATATTCTATTTTGTTTAGTGACAACACCGACTGTGAATCCAACGACTTTTGTACAAAATTCAGACAGTCTTCATACTGCACTCAAACCAATTATTAATCTAGCCCAGTGTTTTGCGCTGTTTCCAGTTAATGGTGTGAATACTCCAGATGCGTCTCACCTCAAGTAAGTTTAAATAATAAATCCATTTCCATCGTGTACGAAGAATTAATTGAAGCCTCGCAAAGACTTCTGGATGAGTTGAGTTGATTTTTCCTTCAGATTCACATGGCGAAGTCTAAAAATCCTGTACAGCATGATCGTCCTGAGCCTGTCAGCACTAATGACAGGAGCAAGTATCCACCGAGTCCTCTCCAGCGAATTTACATCTCCAAAAATGAGTAAATCCTAAACCAACGTCTTCCTGATCAATGAAAAATCATTAATAAAACCTTTCCTCGATTTCTCCAGCTACATTACTTTTTTTTGCAACATCCTGCGTGACGAACGTCCTTTTCCTGAGACTGGCGTTGAACTGGCCGAGAATAGCCCTAAAGTGGGAAAAAATCGAGAGAGAATTAGCAACTCGTCATCGACGAACATCCAAGTACAATCTCGTTACTCGTTACAAGATAATTACAGTGACAATTATGACGATAGCTCTGAGTAAGTCAAATCAATTCCACCTGAAGACATTTGTCATTTGAGAAAATTTTTCAGTCGAGCACGTCCTCTCCATCGTGTCCGGATATTTCAGTGCCTCAGAATGCGCCCAATTACGAGGTGAAACCGATGTCTTCGGTGTTTATTTCCAGACGCAATTCCCACAGGTTAAACCAGCAATAATTACCAATAAGACCCAATCATTCTCATGATTCAACTATTTTTTCCTTCAGATCTTCAACAAAACAGTCTACTCCTTTTGGAAGGGCTTGATGGTCCAGGGCATCAACGTCTTGACGACTTTCTCCTGGAACTTCTTGGATCTCTTCCTCATCCTCATGAGTTCTGCGTTGACTTATCACTTTGGATTACTCAATGATCGACTCAATTCGATAAAGGATAAAACAATGCCGGAGTGGTGGTGGGCAGAGGCTAGAATCGATTACAATCGACTCGCATCACTCACGAGACAAGTCGATTCTGATATCTCTGGACTTATTCTTCTGTCCTTTGGAATTAATCTATATTTTATTTGCATTCAGCTCATGTACTCCTTCAAGTAATGACTTCTTCAACATTTATACATTATTTTTTATTGATTTATTATTTTAATGGAGGTCTCTTGGAATTTTTAGTCGAGTACCGAATGTCATTCGCACTATTTACTTTGGCTTCTCTTTTGGTGCTGTCATTGCCAGAACAGCAGCTGTTTCTCTTTCAGCTGCATCAGTTCATGATGAGTCATTATTGCCAGCACCAGTGCTGTACAGTGTCTCTAGCTCCAGTTATTCAACAGAGGTTTTAATATTATTTATTAAAATACATGTGGCTTTTTCAATATTTTATTTGACTTCTTCATGAATTCAGGTCGTCAGATTTTTATCACAAGTCACCACCGACACCATTGGACTCACGGGAATGAAATTTTTCTCCATCACTCGCAGTCTTGTACTCACGGTAAGACCATCATTAATTATTTATTTAATTAATTACACAGGGAATGATTGAATTAGAGAATTAATTGATTAAAAATCGTGGATTATTCCCCATGATTATGGAGACTGAATATGAAGTTGTCTTTTTTTTCTGGTGATCATTTGACTTTTGCATTTGTTATTCATTGTTTTGGTTGTTAATTATGAGTATTATTGTTAGGTTGCAGGAACAATAATCACTTATGAGCTCGTGCTCGTACAATTCAATGCTGTACAACAGGTGAACCCTTCAAACTTGACAAATGCTTGTGAACTGAAGTAACCACGCGTCAGCACCGCCTTCATAATTTCCGAAAAAAAAAAACAATAATAATGCAGAAAAAGTACATTTAATTCGATCAATTATTTGCATCTATCAAGATTACTGACACCTTCTTCACGAATACTTGGCTTGTTTCGCAGATTTAGTATGAATTTATATGTTCAAATGATTACTGTACCTGATAATTTATCTTTATCCTTTAATTATCTACTTGCTAAAATATTTACACTGAGAAAAACTAACAGATTCATCCTGAGGATTTTTTTAATGGAAAATTTTTCATGGAGATTATTTTTTCATTCGATTTGTCGGCGAATTTGTTGGTTGTCCTCAGAGTGGCTTCAGCCTCTGCCAATTATTTTTTTCTTTTATATGTTTTATGTCTTTTTAATTATTTATTTGAAAATAGGTTTTGGATAATTAAGACGCGATAAGAGCGAATCGATGGCGATTTGTGATTATGAATAATCCGGGAATAGAAAATACTCAACTGGCGTTCAACATATATTTCGAAGGATCTCCACAATAATTGTATTATTCGCTGTATCTATCATTCATATTTTTTCCACATCCATAAAAAAAGGATTTGATCGTAATAGAATAGATGAAAATTATAACAAATTCACTGCATTCATTCCTCGTGATTTAATTTATTATAATTTATTATATATATATTTTATTTATTATAATTTAATGAATCAGAAATGGATTTCCCTAATTACCCGAATTATCCAATGACCTAACTAAGGAAAAAAAAAATTGTTTCATTCAATTAATGAAAGCACCAACAAGTGAATTTATTTATTCTCCAGGTGCAAGTAATTATAAAAACAAGTGACAAAATTTATAAAATAATTCCACAATCCCACGAGAATCCCTAAAATGAAAAAAATCATTTCTCTATTTTCCCATTGCGACATTAAACTGCAGAAGAACAACTTCGTACGTCAGAATAGCTCCGCCTACCTGTAAAAATAAAAATAAACATTGTAATTGTGTAATTGTAATTGTGTAATTGAATCGCGAGTCAATTGTTACTCACAGCTAACATGAAGTTTCGAGTTATTGAGAAAAACTTGAGGCCTGTCATGACAACCTCATCAGATGTCAACTGAATTTGCAATCGTTCTGTCTAAACCGATAAAAATAAAATAAATAATTTATTATTTATTTTATTCTGCAGGAAAAAATGGAAAAAATTCTATAAGTCCCGAAAATTCATAGAATATTTCAAGTACTTCATGATTAAAGCTGGATGCAGGACAATTGTAGATAGCTGGCAGAGCAAGTTTGCTCTGATCATTGATCCTCGCTGTCAACAATGTGACAGCAACTGTTCTGCCAATTAAAAATGCGAAAGAACCGAAGAAGTATATATTCATGACTAAACTGTGTCCCTTGGGGCTAAAATAATCGATAATTCAGTGAAAAAAACAGAATGTGATGAGTTTTTCTTGTTGATTATTAATATTCATACTCACGAGAGCCCATTGAGCAGCTGAATACAGATAAAATACAAATTGTTTGTGAAGGAGAGGAGAATAATTGGTGATACGATGTTATCAGCATGTTTTACCAGACTACTGAGTGTGGCATATTGTTCTCGAAGCCCTCGCCAATCCAAATTCGAACAATCTGATGTTCCACCCGCCAAAACCACCCGATTCAAATGCTTGTATCTCTCAGCTAGACCAGTCGCCACCTGCAACACCAATCCATCATTTTAAAAATCCATTTCCGTTAAACAACAAAAAATATATTACCAGAATTATAAATAAATCAGTAAAATTCCAGGTGAACGTCGCGATTTTACTGATGATGAAGTAGAAAATTCCCATTGCTGTTGAGTACTCCACTGCAATAAATATTTTTATTCTCATTTATCTCCAGGGAATACTAATTAAATTAAATCATTAATAGGATTTTTTTATTGGTGAATTATTGATTAGGTTTTTTGAGGGAAATGGAGGACTCACCAGTTGTATAAGTGAATGCATGAGATCTGTCAGTATAAATTCTCACGTAATTTCTCCAATTGGTATCATTACCTGGGAGTTCAGAAATTGTTGGGACAGCTTTAACAATGCTCAAAATATGTTCGAGAGCAGCAGGAATCAATATCATAGCGGTAATCGTTGTGAATTTCCATCGTAATTTCAGTGGTGGATATTTACAACTGAAAAAAATAACAGGAGATTCTGATAAATCTGGGATTGGATGTGTTGGCAAACAAGTGTGTCACTAATTCACTGAATTATTCAACAGTGTGAAGGATCATGCACGACATGTACTGGAAACAATAGTTACAGGTGCATTAAATATATTTAAACCTATTCAGAAATCGCTCCATCATTCTCCATTCTTGCTGCAGGCCAATCCATTTTGGTGACAAACGAAAAAATAATATCGTTCCCATTAAACTATTTCCGTAAAACATTGCACCTCCTGTTGCTGTTGCTATTCCACCTGCAGTGCAAATTAATTGGCGGTTATTTACTGCATGCGAATGAAACATGAAGTGTTGAGTAATAATTCAGGGGATGAGATTTACTTCCTGTTGAGGAATATCTGGGGATCGAACGGAGATACCACGATTTTTGATAAGATCTTTTTTGTCGAGTTCATCGAGAGCTGCAATAAAGGTTACAACGAAAATTTCTGTAGCTCTCGTGGATTCCGAGATATTCATGGAAAATTCAGTGGTACTGGATTTTTTTTTTTTTGAGAATTGCGGAATGTCAGGGGAATTTAAAATTATAAAATGTTTTTCATGGAATTTTGAATTATAAAATGAATTTCAAGGGAATGTAAAATTATAAAATGAATTTCAAGGGAATTTTAAATTGCAAAATGAATTTTATACGATACCCTCTTGCACGAAAGTGTCTGCTCGCAATGTTGTGATCATGTGAATAAGTGCTGTATAACTAATGAAGGCCAGTAATATGATGACAATGACACAATAAATAGCCCTGATGGAGAATAATTTAAATGACAATCTCGCTGGTGAAGGATTTCGAATATTGAGCACTGGAAGTAAAGCGAAAAATTGCGCAACAGCGAGAATTGTACTCATAGCTCGATGAAAGCTCTCGTCATCCTGTCATTAAATTTTCCGATAAATCAATTAATATCAAGAATAAAAAATATCGATATCAATAGCAACTCACGTCGTTATCCTGATTGGCTCGCCAGGACTTGACATCACGAGAACCTACCAAAGTCCCTTTAATAGGCCTAGGTCGAGCCAATTGTTGCATCGAACTGATGATTTCACTTTGTTTATCATTTCTCTCTACCACCGAAGAATCATGAAAAAATGGCCAGACCTTTTTATCCCGACTCCGACTGCTCTTATTAATCTGATTCATCTCGATTGTCCTCGGGGATATCTTTGGGTGCAGCATTACTCTCCAGGAATTAATTAATTACTCTCCATAATCAGTATTATTATTCTCTGAAAATTCATTTGATAAACGACGAGCGGATTTCAGAAAGGATCAAGATAGAAAACTAAAGATAAATGACAGATAAATTTATGAAATAATTTATGATCTGAATAATATATTCTGTGATTAATGGAGAGGGAAAACCGGTGGGACTTACCGTTTGTGCCAGTGATGAGTACAGGAATAAATACAATAATAAATTAAATTGTTTTGTTTATTATTTGTTTAGGCAAAATTGAAAATTAGGGAATCATTTTTATTGGGGATATTTAATGAGTCGGGTATTCGGTACATTGAAAGGGAATTTTTTCATGCGATGGGCTTTTCTCTTCTGCGGTACGTCAAGTTGACGGTCACCCCTTTCAAATTGTACTGACACAACTCGTGTTTTTTTATTACGAGGACTCGAGTTTGCGCTCGAGGATGCGTGCAACATGAGATATTGACAGAGGAGTGTTCATTTATAAAAGCTATTGGATACGTTCTATTCTTTATTGCATCTTGCTGCAGTTTTTATATTTTTTATTTAAAAAATTGAATGACTCTACCCTCCGTGAATTTCCCAATTGAATTTATTATTCTTTTAATGAATATTAAAAAAATATCTGATAGAGAGGGTTTACTGATGGGAATAATTAAAAGATTGTTTGTGATTTGAAAAATTTTTTAATAATTATTATCGAGAGGACTACATTTTTTTACATAGCTCAACTTTTTTTTAGTTTTTAATGTCAAATTATCCCCATAAGGCTCTCTGGACTCCTGCTAATTGATTGTAGTCCACTAGACGTCGGAAAACAAATCTGGAAAGTCTCCATCTCATCAGATTTCCTCGTGGTCGAGAAGTTATCGCACATCTTCCTGTCAATTGGCACATGGCAGCATGACGGGGTACCTCTAGCATTTCCTTACTGGCGATGTCCTAGAAAAATTATTAGAATAATTAAAAAACTGAAAGGGAGACGATTTGAATTTTATTTTCATTCCAAATCGATTTTATATTTATATTAATATTATCGTGGGATATTGTCAGATTTATTCCGAATATTCTCATACGTAAATATTCACTGACTTGTATCTCTCGAGGCAAAATATTATTTCGTTTCATCGTGAGAAGACGAACACGAAGAGGCGCGTATTCTTTAGCTACACATCTTCTTTTGTAATCCCTCAACATTCTGGCATTTGCCCATTTGTTCCGCGTCTGCTGAATCTGTAAAATAAAAATCATACAAATAAAACACTCATTTGAATTTTTTGGTTAGAATCTCAAGCTCTCGAGGTTTTTCTCTACCGATTCGTGTCAAATTCATTTGATTATTTGAATCGAAGGATTTTTGGCAGTGGAAAATTATTTTTATTATTTGAAGTACGTACGTGACATCCTGTCTTCACATTTGAAAAAATCCTGGATAGGGTGGACGCAAATAAACCTGCAGTCGCCATTTTTTATTTACTGAGGCAATCAGCTGATTACTGCACATGTGCATGTGCTGTCAATAACTCGAGTCATTCGAGTCCATTTACTCATTTATTTACTTTCGATATAGATTGGAGGGAATCCCTTGGAAGGAATGTCATATTTTTTTAATGAAGAATAAAATAATAAAATTACTCACAATTCTGATGATTAATTATATAATTATTCAATTCTCCAGCGGAATATGATAGTACGAAACGATAGATTGAAATTGTTGTATTTGTTCTTTATTTGTTATAACCAGTTCAGCGTTATAAAATTCACACCACTTAGTCATTCAACTCGACATTAAATTTTCAAATAATTTGGAAGATTCAGTGTCGATAGGAATTACGAAAATACAAAATGATCAATCGAATCGAATGGAATACAATAGATAAATTGAAATCAGCAGACTTAGCCTGAGAAAATTCGACCAAAAGAAAACAACAATGATAATGGATAATAAAAATTGAAGGATGAATAAAAAAAAATAATGAACAAATAATAATGTGTTGTCGAGTATCGCAGATATAGGATTTATTATTTCCGTATAATAATTAGAAAATATAATTAAGCCGAGCTAAATTATGATGTTATTAATGTACTCGTAAAACAAATTTAATATAATAGCTCACGTAATTTGTTATCAATGTTCACAGTACAACTCGTTGCAGTTAATTGGAAAATAATGTTTTTATCGAGAGATAAATTCATTGAAGCAAATTTCTTTCCTTCGAAATTCTTTTCGATGAAAAGAGTGTCGGAGTGGACGTTTTGACAAAAAATGAATAAAATAATCAATGAAGAAAAAAGACGAATCATTATTGACATCCCTATATCTCTTAGGGACAATGAACGTACGATAATCTTCACTGATTTTACACTCCATGTACCTAAAATCGACTGTTGTCACAAATTTATTATCAGTACCATCGAGATTAAAAAAACATGTGTATGTACTTTTACGAGATGAGCACGAGATATCCAATGAAATTGGACAAATTACTTGTGCTACTATACGCCGGCTGCAGCCTGGCGGCTTGATTACAAGTCGCGGAAACTGGTTATTTCTTCTTCTGGGCTTTCTCAGCTGCCTTGGTGACTTTTCCCGAGGCATCCTTGAATGTAACGGCCTTGATAACACCGACTGCTACGGTCTGACGCATGTCACGGACAGCGAAACGTCCCAGAGGTGGGAACTCCTGGAATGCCTCGACACACATTGGTTTGCTTGGCACCAGAGTTACGATGGCAGCATCACCAGATTTTATGGCTTTGGGATTCTCCTCAGTTGTTTTACCGGTACGACGATCACACTTCTCCTTTATCTCGGCGAATTTGCAGGCAATGTGGGCTGTGTGACAGTCAAGAACAGGTGTGTAACCGTTGCTGATCTGTCCTGGGTGATTCAGAACGATAACCTGAGCAGTGAAATCAGCAGCCCCCTTGGGTGGATTGTTCTTGGAGTCTCCAGCTACGTAACCACGACGCAATTCCTTGACGGCGACGTTCTTGACGTTGAAACCAACGTTGTCACCGGGTACAGCCTCCAGGAGTGCCTCGTGGTGCATCTCCACGGATTTTACCTCAGTGGTGAGTCCAGCTGGGGCAAATGTCACCACCATTCCTGGTTTCAAGACACCAGTCTCAACACGACCCACTGGGACCGTTCCAATACCACCAATCTTGTACACATCCTGTCAAACAAATAAAAAATCATTTGTTAGAATTATTTCCTCGAGATGAACCACAAAAATCAAATATGAATTTTAATTAAACTCAGACGTCTTGAACTATCACAAAATCCGAAGATTTTCCAGTGGAAACCACGAATGAAAGAAAATAGAGTCTCATCATTGAATAAAAAAAATAATAAATTATTGAATTTGAATGGATAAATAATTGTCACCTGAAGGGGAAGACGAAGGGCTTTGTCCGTAGGTCTGCTGGGTGGTAGGATGGCATCGAGTGCCTCGATGAGGCATTTACCTTCGGCCTTGCCCTCTTTACGCTCGACATTCCATCCCTTGAACCATGGCATCTTGCTCGATGGTTCAAGCATGTTGTCCCCATGCCATCCAGAGATTGGCACGAATGCCACAGCAGCTGGATTGTAACCAATTTTCTTGATGTAGGAGGATACTTCCTTCTTGATTTCCTCGAAACGTGCCTCCGAGTATGGTGGCTCAGTCGAATCCATCTTGTTGACACCAACGATGAGCTGCTTGACACCAAGTGTGAAAGCCAGAAGGGCGTGCTCACGGGTCTGTCCATTCTTGGAGATACCAGCCTCGAATTCACCAGTACCAGCAGCCACAATAAGGACAGCACAATCTGCCTGGGATGTACCAGTGATCATGTTCTTGATGAAATCTCTGTGTCCAGGGGCGTCGATGATGGTAACGTAATACTTGGCGGTCTCGAATTTCCACAGGGCAATATCGATGGTGATACCTCGCTCACGCTCGGCCTTGAGCTTGTCAAGTACCCAGGCGTACTTGAACGAACCCTTTCCCATCTAATTCATTCAACAAAAAATTATCAGGTTAATTACCACAGGTAGACATTTTTTTTTATCATAGGATTATTATTTAATTGACATTCAGACGCTTCGGCCGTCATCGAATCCGAAAATTCTCTGGTGGAAACCGCGAATGAAGTGGATTACGTCTCATCATCATGTCAGTTAATTTTTTTGATTTTATCGTTGTTGGGAAATTGATTTTTTGGGGAAAAAAATTGGAATTGGGGGGGAAATGAAGAGATGATTTTTCCGCATCGAGATATTTACCTCCTGGGCTTCTTTCTCGAACTTCTCAATGGTACGTTTGTCGATACCACCGCATTTGTAGATCAAATGTCCAGTCGTCGTCGATTTACCCGAATCGACGTGTCCAATGACGACGATGTTAATATGAATCTTCTCCTTTCCCATGATGAAGTTTGTTTGTTCTCAGTCTGGTCAAAACTGTAATCACATGATTTTTTTTTATCAAAAACAAATTATCATTCAATTCAATGTACATAATTCCGAAAATGAAATACATCGGGTCGCGAATTAAAAAAAATATTCTGACATTTTCATTAAAGAACTCAACTAATTGAGTGTTTCGAAAATATCTACCAAACCAGGGGAGATAGCGAAATCTTCATGATAACCTTTTGTCGAGCTCTACATGTTTTCTACAAAAAAGGTTCAATAAAATTTCCACTCGCTCCCGTAGAATCGGAGATATTTCCAAAAAATCATCAGAGAGTTGAGTGAGCTCGTATATTTATCCCTTCGCTGCATGATTAATTGATTTGAAATTGCAAATTAATTCTATGGGTAAAGCTATATCCCGGAAATTGCAGTCCCTAATTTCAACCGTAATACCCCATAAATTAATTGATAAAACCCTAAATTCTCAAGGGCTCGACGAGTGAGCGTCCACGTGGCGATGGCCTGAACTTTCGAGAACGGCAGCCATTTTGTACATCTCATCCAAGAATTTCCACGGCAAGCCGATGATACCGGAATAATCCCCGACGCTTCGACAAATTCCACTATTTTTCCGACATAAACCAAAATATTATTCTCATCCAAAAACCAAAACTCCGCGAAATTCCATCAATTCTCCTACGCGTAAAAATCATCGATAACTGCACAACAGTAAAGTAATTGCAATAATAATAGCTCGTAAACCTAAATTAGATCACGGATTATTCCCTCGTCATAACTCTATACTTCAAGTGCCGGAAGAACTGTTGCACGAAGTGACAACATAAAATGAAACATTGATAATTACCCCCACCTGCTCCGAAATTCCAGTGAAAATTGACCTGACATCGCATCAATAATTACCCAAAAAAAAAAGGAAAGAAAATACAATTTTTCATAAATCCTGAGCGATAAGATGGCGGTGGAGCAGTAGCTTCAAATGAAATAATCAATTCATTGAGTAAAACCGATTCACAAGTGACTGCAGTCCCATTACATGAACTCTCCTCCCTTGCATCAGATTCCTCAATCATCGATTGATAAATTGACACCAAACAATAATCAATCCCGATATTTAATCACTAGAATTCACAAAAATAATCAATTAAGAGACATTTAACGACTAGTACTAGAATCAACTAGAATTACACGATTAATATTTTCTCAAGTTCTAACAAAGCGATTGGATTACAAAGACTAGAATAAAAAAAAGTCATGCGTAAACATCCGATGAGAACAGGTGAGCGTAAAAACCGGGGATTGACGTAAAAAATGTCTTAAACTGTTGGAAGCCTCAGGACTAAACAAAAAAAAATCCATAATCCCAAAGAAAATCTCATTTGTGACAATCGACCGCCATACTGTATCCGGTAGGTCGCGATTTCAAGCCTGAGGCCCAGCCATGAATGTCCCGTTAAATTTCCACCCCGAAACAAAATTGAAAAAAAAAATAAATAAATAAATCATTCACGTCAAACATCACCCGGTGAATTACCCATCGATTATAACAACAACTATTGACAATTATCCCTGTAAATTCGGTGTAGAATTATCTATTATAAGTAAAGCAGCCTCACAGCCGGTGGAGTAATAATCAGACCATGCGTTGAATTTTAAACTCCATTATTTCGGGTTAATTACAATAAACAACCGAAAACCGTTTTCACATCACTATTGTAACGTACCGGTGGTATTATTATTTAATATTCCTAAGGGTCGATGACGAATATTCAATGGTTAAATATTTGGATTATCTTCTTGCGCGAAAATCACGCACAACCACTCACCTCCAGATGCCACGACAGAAAGAGATCGTCCAAGTGATGTGACATGCGCATACGACTTCGTACCATTTACAGACTCGAAACCAGGGGTCGAACTATATCGATTGCCAGCACATCACCGATATCCTCCCTTTGAATATCGAGATTTATTTTTTATATGGATCTTTATCCCGGTTACCACCCAATTTAACGGGGAAATCATATTATTTATTTGGGTGTTTTTAATTTTTTTGAATTTTACGTGAAAAATTTGGGGAGGTGTTAATTTAAGATTGGAACGTGGGGTGTCTGGGTTCCAGGGTATGATGTCGCTGGAGTCGTCAATGTCTTCCGCTCTGCTCTCAGGGTAATTCAGGATTGTTAAGGATTTTTGAATTCCTCTGGGGAAGGTAATGGAAATGACTGAATCCTTCTTCTTCAATTTATTTCATCCTCTCACTTGAATTTTTTTAATCGGTTTTCCATTTTTTGTTGAGGGTAACAAAAATAGTGGGTATTTATTTTATATTTATTTTGAATCGAGGTACTTCGAATTTGAAATAATCCAGACTGATTTTTTAATATAAAAACAACCTTTTATTTATCCAGTACAATCATCACAAACTTTGCAATATCCTTATTTCCTACACTGGTTTATTTTCCACTCACCCCTTTCATTTATAAAAAATTAGTGGAAACGTGTCATTCATTGTGGCACCATTCTTGCATGCAATTATAAATATCAATCGGTACTAAAATAATTGTCTCAATTCATCCCTTAACTTCTCCCCAAAACATGCCCTGAGTTAAAAATAATATCAACTTGCCGAAATTGACTAGAATGAAGTGCTGGAAGAATTTTTATTAAAAACCCAAACAGCAATGATAAAAATTTAAGATTCATTTGGAGATTCGCAATAAATTATCCATTGAAAATTCTCTAAAGTTTTCTACTGAATTTTATCAAGTGTTGTGATCAATCGTAGGCAAAAAGTATTTATTGAATACTAAATCCCAATTATTTTTCATTAAATATTTATATTTCACTGGATTGAATACCAAATATTAAACGGAGTATTTAATTTTGTCCATCGCTGATTGTAACTATTTAATATTTCTACGTACCGATAAAATCGGTGCAGTTTATTAATATTAAATAAGTTTTTAAATAATTCCGATAGTTTTAACTTGCTTGGCATAGCAAATACAACAGCTTTTCATAAAAATTTATCGATTAAAAATACATTTGACAAGTTTATGAAAAGGAGGCCGTAGCAATGTCTGGATTAAACCTATTCCTTTGAATAAATTCAACAGAGATGTATTTTCAATTAAGAGAAGACGCCTTGTGACATCCTATTATGCAGGCGTTGGCATTTTCTGGAATACAATGTGAATACGCGTTCTACTCTCTACATTGCCCGATCGATCGATTCATAACGTAAAAATAGTAACACTCGTTGCTACGGGTCCTCCGTCTATAAGTACCATTTGAATCGTCGATAAAATTTTCTCGCCCATGAAAAAATACATAATTTTGTGGGATCCCGATGTCGATTCACTCAATTCATTATTTTTCCATTCAATTGTGCGACTCTGGTATTCGTTATTGACAGCGAGAATGTAGGCCACGTGTTGTCAAGATATTTTTTAATGATAACATCCAAAGTTCTAAGTCAGAGCAATGAGATTCTCGTGATAATACTAAAAATTTTTTGTTCACAGTCGTTAACTAACGAATAAATAAATAAATAGAGGGGAGTCTTATCTTGACTTGATCGGCGTGAATTTAAAAAAATACAATGGGCAGTAAATAAAGTGAGATAAGTCGACACTAAATATTTTTATATAAATTCCTCGCGGAGACTATTAACTCGCGTTGATTCCATTCTCCTAGAAAAAAAATCGCAATATTTTTCCTAATAGTCCCCGAGATAAATCGATATTCTAGAGAATTAATAATTGACTTGTCCCACTTCACATCGCCATTGTTCTCTCCCATTATATTTTTCAATTGTTTATAGCAGCTGTTGGAGGAAAAAATTAAATATTTTATCGTAGTAATACGAAATTGTCAAAGTGTCTGCAGCCCAGGGGAATCCCCCACACCCTGAGTGGAGACAGGCTCACAATATTTGTCATGAAATTTACAGTTATTTTTTATCGAATGAGTTCAACCCGTTTGTTCTCGCGAGGGCGATGGCTGAATTATGCCACTGGTACCTGGTGCATCTGAAAATTAAATGAATAAATAAATGACTCAGACGTTGATTTAAATTTTATAACATTTCATTGGAAAATTATAGTGAATGAATGGAAAGGAAGGGAATAGAAAAAAATTTAATGATCAATTAATAAAATTACCATGTGGAGATTCAGTTGTTAAACGTTCAAGACGAGTTGGTAAATCTGCAGTGTCGGTGTCAGCATGTTGTCCAAGAATGTCTGGCATGGCATTCCGTCTGCCAGTTCGCCCGGTGGATAGAAACTCCTTGGAGCCCTCACCATTGGAGAATCCGGGTGTCACAGCCCCACCTCCACTAGTTTCACCCTCTATTTCAGCCTCAGCCCGTTTTTCCGATAGCATTCTCAATGCTGTAACAAGATTGAATCAGAGGTGAATGCGACGATGTCTCTCTCCATTGAATTCTCGATGTTATACTGTCGAATCTCTCAGAGTTTACTCCAGTGCTAACTGCAAGCTTTAATAAATGTCGAATCGATTGACGTATTCTATGAAAAAAAAAATATGTTGGGCAATTATATCGTTTCCATCAGGTGGAAACACTGCGGATGCAGTGGCATATTTAATTTTATTAAATATCCAGATATAGATTTTATAAGAAAAAAATTTCTAGATGTAATCTAGCTTTTTTTTCGCTGTGAAGGAAAATACTTTGAGATATTATTTTGTTGGGAATTCTCAGCTGTAGAAAAAAGCTCTATCGATATTCCCCAGGATGAGGGATTATTCATATCTTCAGTCGCTCCTTTGGATCGCTCTCCTTCAAAGATTTATTCCACATATGCCTCCATAAATATTCTTCATGACGATGCGTTAGTTGGAAAAATGTATTCTCAGAGCCCCATGCAATATTCTACGGTCTACAGTCTGGTAATTATCTAGATCAATCGAAGGCGTCATTAGTGTCGTTAAAGATCAATACTAGTTAGTACAATAGAAGCCCGGAATCAATCTACATTCGCGAATTCATTATTCGTAAATACGAAGAGGGATAAAAATACCTTGAGCGCGTAAAAGGCGTTTCCCTCCAGCGCATTTCCTCGATCTCACAGCCTGATGGAGTATCGCATCATTTCCACCAGTGCTCCACTTCTTCCTCTTCTTCACCTGAGTTATTACCCAAATTGAACAAAAAAAAATATCCCAATGGCTGGACGAAAATCTATTTTCATTACATTTGTCTTTTATCCCGTGTATTTACCCAAATAATATCGATAAATCGATCTACAGCAGTTCGATAATATTTACGATAAAAACACTCTATACCTTTTTTGTAGATCATTAAATTTTCGACATGAAAGATCTTTTCATATTTCCCTCTAAAATCAATACTTCTCTAGATAAATTGGTGTTTAAAAAATTGATGTCGCAAATATGATGAAAAAGAGTTTAAAATCTATAATTAATTGATCCAATTAAAAAAATACACATAACCGTTGATTTATTCCATCTCCGTTGGCTGATGACATTTCATACTGAATAAAAAATCACATCTCCCTGCTTTTTCTTATGAAATAAGATGGGATGAGTGGAACCCCTGACAGCTCCTTGGAGATGGCCTCGAGGGACAACTCATCTATTTTTAGGCGGGTCAGGTGGTAGATCCTACGTAACTTATTATCGCCTCATTAATTAAATACATAAACTAAATCCCCTAATTGAGACCCCAAAATACCGCGAAAAATTCGAGCATCAGAGAACAATTACCCGAAAACAATTCACATCTTCCAACGACCAATTAATTCACTTGTTGTACCCACAGCTCCTATTCATTGAATATTCATCCAAACACGTGGCTAATTGGAGTAATTAACAATTAAACATCGAATAAGTGTGGGTTGTCATGTACACGAAATACACAATAATAAAATCGATAAATGAGTGAATAACTTCTGCACTTACCATTGATAAAAATTCTTCAAAAAAATATCCAGCTGATACTCGAAATTCCTATCGATATTCTCCACCTCTACGATTTATCCTCCAACTTTCTACGTAACAGTTCGATTACGTGTCGTGCGCCAACGTTAAATAAATCGATGTGACTTATTATTTTGGCAAAAGCTTCATGTTGTGAATTTAACCAGAACATCAAGAAGTCATTTCAAATGACAGCATAAAATAATGATGAACATTCATATATCAGTTGAAGCACTGACGTCGTATTTTTTTCTGTTTCTCATTATTTACTATTGTCGAAATTTCATTTGATGTAATTCACTCACGGTTACACATGACAGGAGACACGTTGTCTGAATACAACTCAACCTCACTATTTTTCAATGAGTTATTATTGTTCGTGGATACTGATTTGTCGAGGGGTACATAGGCTATTTATTTAATCTCCTCTTTCATTTATTACTGCACATATGGGGACACTGATTTTTAGAAAAACTTGAAGAGACTAGAACATCCAACATATGAGAGAGCTGACAGCTGAAGAGTATCGCGTCTCTCCCAACGCCAACTCCGATCTCTCGCGGTTTCTCCGATTTATCTCGAACTCTCACGAATCGCTGCGCCATCGACACTCCGCGCATGTCCTCCACTCATTGCTAATTTTGAATTCTTTGATTACCAGTTTTTTGGTTAGCTTAACCGAAACCGTTGTTCACGTTTGTTTAAACAATTTTAACCAGGTCCATAATATTTCCAAAATGCATTTATCGGTAAATCGTTATTCTCATTATTTTTAAGTTCTTGTCAATCTTTTCAATTCAGTGCAGTAATCCAGAAAGAACAATGATTCATGATGATCTATATTAGTCAACAATGGAGTAATATACCGAAGGCTCGATTTCACTTTTATTTTGAATGAATCAATTCTTGGGAAATATCTTGTAATTAATATTTTTTAAGAGTCTCAATTTATTTCATATTCTTTAAAAATCGATGAGATTCATTAGAAATTATGGAAAAATATCGCCTTTGCTAACATCAAAATTCATTATCATATTTTCATTACCCTTTCACATTGATTTCTCCATCGGCCATAATATCTACTTATCATATACATGAGTATTCTATGAACTTCCTATGTAAATTATTTTTTTTGTCACCGATTTCATCTCCACCCCAAGAAAAAATCACACAAAAAATATATTCAACAAAAATTTCTGTTTTAACATCAATATCGATTTTGAGTAATCGATTTTTCATATATCAAGTTCTGTGGTTCAGCTCCTATTACACAATTGCATGAGATGGCAAAAATTTGGAAAATTGAAAGTCAGGGGAAAACCGTAAAAATCGATAAAAAGTGTCGAAACGATTTTTTCACTCTGATCGAATGGCTTTCACGTTGAGACCATTCGATTTCAAGGTCGAGACTAATGTCTTGAGCAAGTGATAATTTAGGGTAAGAATTAGATGGCGTGATTCATGTGCATAAACTATTACGAATTTTCAGATCAATTAGCGGACAAAGGGTTTGACGTGATAATTATTTAATCGTCGATTCAGCAGACCGAGCGATTTGAATAATAAGATATTGAGCAATCGCTGATTGTCGTGAAAAATACTGTGGAACTTCAGTGATTTTAATTCGCTCGTTGTCAAGATGCCATTAGGATTTATTTAATACTTCAACGCAAGATCGTTAAGTGGTTGTTTACGATGCCGAAAAATCTAGAGCACTAATGACATCGCTTCGTCAATCCGGATTTATCGATTTAACATCGGTATTTTATTTGGGTTAATTGACAAATCCGCAAGCTGTCAAGCGTTTCGGGAATTAATGAATCAGAAATTAAATGGAGAAAAAGTTTATGGATTCATCAAAACTGGGCTTTATTGTTTATTTCAACATTCAACAAATACTTATTTTATTCAATTAAATTAAATTCAAATGAATTCAATTTAATTCGATTCAATTATGAATTTCATCTGGTGTTGAGATTATTTTTATTTAACTAGAAAACACATGAAGTTATTTAGTGCTAATTAATCAGTGGAATAAATAATTGTTTTTTAGGTGGAGGGGGTGGGGATCTGGTACCCCTCTTTTTCCAAGTCTGAGGTATGGGGCACAGGTGACACGGTCTCGACTTGGAATGCTCATTTCACCTCGTGTCTTGGTGGAGGCCATCAGTTCTCCAAATCCTCAAGATGTTCTAACTCTTGGCTTCTGTTGTTTTTCAACTCGTGCATCCACTAGCTCCAGCAATTCAGTGATTAATCGTGTTATTAACATAAAAAAATCGGTGAAATGGTGATCTCCAGGATTTTAGTCTGGATCCTGTGGTGTGGGTTGCCGGTAATTCTCGGGGTAAAAACCGTGAATATCCTGTCGACTTCCGGTGTGAAAAGCATCGAGGAGGAAGACATCCTCCGGGTCCTGGCCCAGAACACATCAGATTCATCGGAGAACCTCACATTTGTAGATCTCGTCGAGAGCTGGAGGAATCACACTGGAACATCCAGTGATTTTTTATGGAACCCTGAGAGCACCGGTCCGAAAGAAAAGTTTGATATTTATTACGGTAATTTACAATTACTCGAATTAAAATTCATTGAAGCATGGAACTATTGAACCGAAATAATTATTATTTAATGGAAATTTTCCCAGCCTAAAGACTTGCGATTTTATTTTATTTTTGATTCCCTCTCAGTGCCGTAATCTTTAGAATTTGAAAATTCATTTGAATCGGTGATTTAGGAAGATTTGGAAAATGATAAGGGCAATTGTCTTAGTACAGTAATTAAAATTCCAAGTTAATGATGGAGACGAGGGAAGACTTCAATAGGAAGTGACATTTGTTGGAAATGTTTTCGAGATTTTATCCTGAGTTGAAGATATTTCAAAGGTCACGAAGCAACAATTCCATTAGGTAGCAGGGTATATTTTAACATTTGAATGAGTATAAATAAATTCAACCGCAAGGACGCCATTCGTTTGTATTTATTTCGCGATTCTCAACGCGATTCGTGAGTTACCTATGAATTCGAATGCATATGATTTGACTCGTCGAGTGGATTTATTGAGAGACATTCAATGGTACGTCATTTTATTTCGAAATCGGTACAGCATTTGCGCTCGGTGTTTAATAAATATTTAACTGATTATTTGTTTCATTGATTCGTGTTTGCAGTTCGGTCGGAATTTTACCGCGATTTTTACAGATATTCTACCCGATGCTCCACTAAATACAGAATACCCTCAATTTTTTGGAACACTCATTTTTTCAGTTCTCAAAATGCAATTAAACATTTTAATTCAGATTTTTATTAGCGAATTCCGGAGTGAGAAGTTGAAATTAATCCTTTTTCAATTGTTTCATTATTTATCTTGGAAAGTATTGATTTGAGAGGAAAACTTTGAAGAACTTTTTTGTGGATGATGAAATTTCGGAGGAAAAAGGTCTTTTGATATTTTCTCGTAGAGTCAATAGTTTCCGGATTAATCGGTATTTAAAAGTGTAAAAATTCAATTAATTTCGTTTCGCTCTTTTGCATCTTGCCTGTTCACTAGTAAATTGATTAATAATCAGTATTTTTTAATCCTGCCGAAGAAAACTAGTCATGAGTAACAGGAGGTGTCCTTGGATATTTGATAATCCGTCACGATGAAAGCTCGAGTGAATATCAAATGGTCTATCCTACTTCAATAATTTTTTTTTATCCTGGAATTTCAAGGATGTCTATAAAATGAAAGTAATGCGTAACTAGTACCCTAGGGTAATCAGGTTTTATTTATACTCAATCTATAAAAAATAAATTGGATAGAATTCGCGAATTCATTCAAATCCATCCGAATGTCTGGATTCCACTAGAATATTGAGTAAAAAATTCTTTTTTTATATTTTTCTATGAGATTTCCTAGTCTGGGATTCGCCAAAATTTCTATTTACTTCAATAAATAATCAATAAATAAAAAATAAAAATAAAAATATTTGGGAATAAATTCAAGGAATCGGAAAAAATGAAAATGAGATTTTCGTGTAGAGAAAGAATTTTCAGAAAATCACATTTTCTTTGGCATTGAAATTTCCATTAGGTGCCAGCTCTGAATTTCATTGAGACTTTCGTTAGACAAGGCTATCACCTCTGTAACCATTTTAACTTCGAAATTGAGTGTTAGTTATTGTGAAAGTACTGGGCGGTTCTTTTTAGGGCCTGTCCATGCTTCTGTACATATTCCATCCATTTTTATACAAAACCAAACAAATGATTAAAATTCATTAACATCCGGTCCAGCCTTCTAACGTACTAAAAGCAATTCCTTACTATTTTCTCTTCACAGCGGATTAGACGTGAATAAATTACACCTTCTCAAATTTTTGGTCTTGCCTCGAGTCTCTAATTTTTTTTTATGATATTACATCAGCCTTTTGGATTTTTATTCACATCCGCATCCAGTTTTTGCGAATAATTATTATTCGATTCTGAATTGATTTTTTTTACTGGATTGACCTTTAAAAATTTTTAAGTCATCATTTCAGGATTCATAAAAATGACATTCCCGTTTTTTTTTTTATTGAATAATTTCTACGAAACTGAGAGCGAAATTATTTTAATTGAATTTTTTTATTATTAATTGGGATAAAAAGCTGTCATGGAAGATTTTCATCTTCAATTATTGGAATTGAATTCAGATTTAATCTAGATTAGTGATGGGTTCGATAGTTCTTTATGTTTTTGTTATTGAATTTAATTTGAAAATTGAAAAGGGATATGGCAGGGGTCAGATCTTCCGTCCGCTGTTTCCAAACTTTTGTTTAAAATTTCCCATAGATATTTATTGTCTGCACAATTGTCGTTACATATACTTGATTCAATTTCCCCCGGGGTTTGTTATTAGCATTTAACAACCAACGCACGTCCGTCGTTGGTGCAAGAATCATTTGCCAGTACACAATAGTATTTTGAAATCACCGGCAATTATTTAAGCATCATCCGATGCTTTTTACCTCAGGTCTATTTTTTACCCTAAAACTTGACGCCATTTTCAAAATTTGAGTTTCACTGAAAATTTGAAAAACTGAATTTCAAATCAAGAGGAATTAATTCAATGGGAAATTCAGTCGGAATTAATCCTTAATTATTTTATTTTTATTGCAGATAAATATAAATATCAAGTTGACAATGAAGTCGATCAATTATTTTCAATTGCTCCGGTGTTTGATCCAGCAGCTGGTGTCGTCAGTCCGGAGTGCAGGAAGCATTCGGAAATTTACAACCGCGAGCTCAGGAAAATGAGCCTCTGGGCATTAAAAAGTAAGTTCACGTATTAATTACACTGAAAAAACGAGGGACTGACAAGAACGAGGAAAAGTCGGATGAGGAATTCTCCATTCGTCCGCCATACGAATAAAATAAATAGAAAAAAATTAGACAAACCTCAAGAAAACTGGGAATTACATCCAAGAGAATGCAGTCTATCCTTTCAATGAATAATTCCAATTTCATATTGAGGAATTATTTTTAAAGTGCTCCACAATATGAATATTTATTAAAAATTACTGAAGTCACGTAATCCGAAATGGGAAATTTTTATTTTAACAATTTCCCCGATTTAATTCTGTTGTAAACAATTATTAAAAATTTATTGAAATAATTATCGAAATAATATCGAAATAATTATCAAATTCTAATTATTATTTAATGAGTTATTCTAAAAAATTCCAGTGTTTGATGCAACAGCGAAAATTCCCTCGGGCCTTTTAAGCGGTAATATCAATCAATTAGGGGATTTCGATGAGTGTCTGGGCCTTGAAGGCCCCGAGGATATCCGTGGTCAGTACTGTTTAGCATATCTGCAGCTGGAGATTGATCATCATCGAGATGATCTCAAGGAAATCCACCGTCTCGTCCACTCCCATTACGCATTCAGGAGCAACATAACAGACGTAAGTCCATCATTACCTCGAATAAATTCTATTCCATCCCCAAATTTCGTAGACTGACAGGAAAAAAGAATAAAATTACATCCATATTCTTAAATTGTAATTAAAATAAAAATGTTTAAATATTTAGCGGTACCACGGATTTGTCATTAATTTTCAAATGGTTTTATTGAATTTTATGGGATGATCCTCCAGCCTGGCCACCGGGTTCCTCGATTTAGTACGGTCCAGTGGGCAGTTTGTACACCGTCATCATGTACCTCCCAGGATGTTGAATCATCACTTAGAGCGACAATTTCAAAGTACACAAGCCACACAGGACTTAATATAACTGTCAAAGTTGACCGCGAAATGTGTCAAGTTCAAAGGACCGAGCCGCTTCCAACAGAAACTCTAATTGTTGGGTAATAATTATTTAATTTTATTTTTTGATTGATTATTCAACCCCCATATGACCCCCATATGGCCTTGTAACCTTCATAGGACATCCACATGCCCTTTAGGTGTCCTATTTAAACCCTCATCACACCCTCTCGATCCTCACTTCGACCTTTAATCGTTGGAATCATAATTTTTTAATAATACAAATGGTTGAGTACTCCTGGCAATAATTATCGTAAATTCACAGGGGATTCTTCATCTCCGTCATTGGATTGGCCACTGTAGCAGCTGTATGCGATCATCTGGGGGCAGATGTCAGTGAGATTGTTCTCGCCTTCTCCTTGAAGAGAAATCTACGGAAATTATTGTCCATGAAACCTGGGGACGACGACATTGCCACTCTGCATGGCATCCGGGCAATTAATGCTCTCATGCTCATTGTCGCGCATAAGAGCATGGCTTTGTTTTTCAATCCTTATGTTAATAGGACTGGCATGGCAGAGGTAATTAGCAGTTGCATAAATTCATTCTTGAATATTGCGAACATCCGAAATTTCGATCAATTCAGATAAAATATATTTCAGTATTTCTTTTAAAAATGAATAATACATAAAATCATCAGTAATCATCAATATTTTCCTGCGAAATTTGAATGATAGAATTTTTTTTCTCTCGGAGGAAAATAATTCTTGGAAATGGTTTTGAATGTTGAATATTTTTCTATTCATTATAATTCATTGGTATTGGAAATGAAATAGTACTTGGGTCGTCCTTGGACGGTAATTGGACGAGCTGCGAGTCTCTACACCGATCCCTTTATAATGCTCTCTGGTCTTTTGACTACCTATTCATTCGTGGGAAGACTTAGAAAGTCCGGAGAAATCCACGTGAAGAAGGAATACCTATCGAGATTATTCAGGTATGATTTTGACATTGGAATGTGTCACATTTACGATTACACAATGTTTTATTTATTTTATTCCGTAGATTGGTGCCGAATCTCGGTGCACTCATTTTATTCTGCATGTTTATTATGCCATACATTGGATCTGGACCCCAATGGAATCTTGTTGTCACTCATCATGCGGATATTTGTAAAAAAACTTGGTGGCGAAATTTTTTATTCATTCATAATTATTTTGGATTTGAAAATATGGTGAGTAAATACTTTGAAATATCGAATTAATTCCAATTCCATCCAATTAAAAAATTTATTCTATATAAACTGAATATTAATTAGTCATTTATGACGAATTGTTGAATTTATAATGTTTTTTGGATTTTTTATTATATTTTCAGTGCCTGACCCACACCCATCACATCGGCATCGACACCCAATTATTCGCCCTCTCCCCAATAATGGTTCTTACTCTGTACAAATATCCTAAACTCGGTGGATTAATCCTCACCTTCATGGCTCTTCTATCCACAGGACTTCGTTATTACGTTACGTATTTTAAACGACTGAATAATTACGTGTTCTTTGGCACCTCGTAAGTACTTAATTTGAATTTAATGAGTCGACGACACAAGAATGCTTTCAAGTATTATCCGATACTTCATTAAAATTTCTAACATTTGTCTAATTGATAATCAGGATCCGACAATTATTCGACACTGCCAATTTGTCGTACATTCTACCAACGCACAGACTAACCGTTTACATAATTGGTATTTTCGTTGGATATTTCCTGAGAATATGCCCGAAGGGATATAAAATGAGCAAGGTGAGTACCAAGATCAATTTATTTATTATAAAAGAGCCCTGATAATCGATTTATTCCAATTATATCATATTAAATTACTCAAGACATCTTAATTATCCTCTTACAATTTACCAAATGGCTGAAATAATTTTCTAGTCGTTTTATTTTGCTCTACTTTTTTTTATTGACTTTCGATAAGTGATGCAATGATTAATTGCAGTCGGTGATTCGATTGGGCTGGACCTTGACATCAATGATGGCACTAGGAGCTTTCTTCGGTCCAGCTGGAATGGGTTCGATAAATTACGTCTACAATCCCATTCATGCTGCGACGTACAACGCATTTGCACCGATTGGATGGTGCGCATTTTTTGCATGGATTGCATTTATCTCGCACACCAAAAATACAAGCGGTAATAATAATCATTTATTTAAATAATTTCTATACAATCCTATTGAAAGAAGAATAATCATCGAAAGGGTTATTTGATTCTGATTAATTACTATTAATTACTATTGAATTAATTTTTTTTTATTATCATCATTGGTTTTTAAAGGATGGGTCAGTGAAATATTCGCTTGGAGAGGGTTCCTGGTCTGCACACGATTGAGTTACGCCATTTATCTCACGCAGTTTCCAGTCTTCTTTTTTAATGTTGGAAAAACGAGAAGTGCAGAGCACTACGAGTTCTTCAGAATGCTGGTAATTTTATTTTATCAGAATGAAATTTTAACGATTGCAAATCTGTCAACGGTAATAAAAAATGTATTCTTCCTACCAAGGATAAAACTTATGTCATTTTATGAGCGAATCTTGAATCTCATTTAGAAGTTGCTGGTGATGTCCTACTTTACTGAAGAAAAATTGACAAAGTTGAGGGAAGAAGATTGATGAAATAAAAGTTGATGGTGTTTAGAAAATTTTCTAACGTCATTCAGATTAAAGATAAATTCATAAATATGCAATGATTACTGATTGAAGAGTAATAATAATGTTTATTCATTTATTGCAGTTTAATTTCCACGAATTGGGGTGGATAATTGTCATGTCAGCAGTTCTCACTCTATTATTCGACTCGCCTTTCCAAAACCTCAAGAGGTACCTTCTGAGAAAGCCATCGACACAGCAAAAAATCGTGAAGGCTGAATGATCCAAATGCCCGATTAATTCGTGAATTATGCGTCTTGTAAATAGTCTGATTATTCCCTTAAATATGACAGCTTATGTACCTTTACCTTGCCTCCCATGTATTTATGTAATCGTGAATAGAGTCGCTCAGAGCAACTCCTCCCAATTGTAAATAATTTATAATCCCCACGGTGATTAATTAGATTTAATATTTTTATATATTATTTTCACTTTTAGATTAGCTAATTATAATAAATAAAACCATTTGTACACGTATTTCATTTTTATTTTCTCCGATAAATTTACATTAAGACTAATAATTATTGAATTTATTATATAACAAACGATAATAATTCGCAATTATCACATTTATACAACGAGAAGTATAAGGGATTATTTTATCATGTTGAGTATATATGTACAAGCGCTTATATATATGAAAAGGAGGATTTACTAGCTCAAATCGTAGTTCATGGCGAAAAGAAATGAATTCAGTAAATAAATGGCGTGGAATTATTATTTATCTCGAAGAATATCGATTAAAATCCCTCGATATGAAATAAATCCCCAAAATTCCACATATTCCATTCTACAATTTCGCAACTGAATAAAAAAAAAACAGCTGATTCATCTGGTGTTGTTCTAAATTTGTAACGAAGTCAAGGATATTTTAATTAATACAGTAAATGCACGTTTAGGGATTTAAGAGAAATCCCTGTTTGGCAGAAGAGCTGGAGCAACGAGAGACCAGACGTAGAGACTCAGACACATCCACGAAGATATTATTTTTACCCACATGGATGCTGGATTGGAATTCAACGTCTTCAGCGATGAGTTTGGCCTGGAGGTAAAGTGTGGAATTTAAATTAAACCGTTAATTATAGAATAATAATACCATAGACGGGTGATACTCACTTGTACCAATTGGTGAGGGTCATCATAACGTAGAGAGTTGCAAGAGCAAACATGAGGTGGAAGAAGCTCCAGTTGTAGGCGACCTTATCCTCCTCGTTGTCCCAGACTTTAGTCTCACCACCACCTTCGGCATCATCATTACGACCTTCTACTGCAACATAATCTATTTATATTCCATAAAGGTCTAACAAAAATAATAATAATAATAATTGAAAGACACGTTCAGACTTAGAAGCGAGAAAATGGTGAAATGATAAATTATTTGAAAAAAAAATTTCAAAAGAAAAATTCGGTGAAAGTATCGAGCCTTTCAGAGAATTAGAAATCTATCCACTTGATATATGGTGGGACGTTTGAACAATTGTTAAGAGTTATGATGATTATTTATAAATGTTTTTGAAGATTTTAATGGTGCCTCAAGTTAATGCTAATTTTATGCCCTCGTCTTGAGGTAATGGAAATGATTTATTCATTGAAAAAAAAAAATGCAGAGCCTGGATATGAATATTAGTTGATGAGAAGACACAACAGCCTCAGATTTATTAAATAAATAAATAAATTCGAATAAGGCAAGCACACACTACGTCTATGAGACATCTACGAAGAGATCATGGAAAATATTCGGCTGTTTTGTCTGGTGGTGATTGATCAATTAAACCGTCAATGTTCCAATAAATTCACCTCTTATTTAATAATAATAATTAGGAACATCGACAGTATGTCGTGGGTATTTAAAATATTAATTGATAGTATGTGCGTACCTTCATTGCCGATAAGAGAAGTATCTCCTGAGTTGCGAACTGCATAGAATGTTTTTGTTTTGCTTTGAAATGATTTAACACAAGGAGAGAAAAATTAAATCGATGAGACTTACCAGCGCCATTGTCGTTGATAAGGACTTTATCAGTCATAGTGATCTTGGAAGACTTGGAGGCAGTTCTGAGGGAGCTGTAGAGGACACAGCTGAACCAGATTATCAGACCCACGACACTCTCTTTATCGAAGGCCACCTCGTTCTGGTCCTTCACGTTGCTGCTTGCTATTGATCCGAATAATCCAGGATTGCACTCGTGGTCTGTTTAAAAAATAGTAAATCAATGTTTATTAATGTATAAAGGTGGAATGCAGGAAGGGAAATAAATTATTTGACAATACCTGGACTGTTTGAGACTCCACTCCAAGTCAGATAAATTACGTAAAGAGATACGACAGATGCCTGGAGTAATCCACTTCTTGGCTGGTGCTCTTGGACACTTGGCAAAATGGAGATAGCACTGACGATTACACATAATATTAAATTGAATGATATGAAGAACTTGTGGAGGGAACAGTTGTCTGGCTGCAATTAAAATGGAAGATTATTTATTTTATTATCGAGTGATCAAAAGTGTTCTGTTGAGGTTGTTATGATGATAATAATAATTACCAGGGTGAAATAAACAAACAGCAAGGAGATTCCGGCAATAGCTAGACAGTAATTGAAGAATGTTGCACCCAGCAGAGCTGCATACCAAGTCTTCGATTCAGTCTCTTCGTAATTGCCGACCCAGGAGTCAGCCCATGAATGGGCGAAATCGATAATGAGAATTAATTGAATGAGTATGAAGAAAAATCCACCGAACATTCCGAAGTACATCCAGACAGGGCCAAAGGAGCCCTCGGGGATGAAAAAGGCGCCAATGACCCCACCGATTATCAGAAGGTACTTTATGGCCCAGAAACCGTTTTGAATTGGGGCTCGATGATCCTTTGAGCTCTTCACACCGATCATTATCGTCGACATCAGGAAGAAGAACAGGGAAATTATGAAACATATTCGGTACACAGCGAGATAACCAACAGCTGAATTACAATCCACTGTGAATGATGAGGGGTAGTAGTTGCTACTGTTGGTGCAGAAGGGAACCTGAAGAGAGTAGTTTTATTATTGTCGTCAACAATTCGGTGGTGAAAAGATTTTTTTTTGCCATTTGGTAGGTGTGTTGAATATTAATACCTTTTTTAGTGTGTCTTGAAGACCTGGGGCGAGAGTAATGCAAGCAGCAATTGTCCCCAGCATCAATAACAAGGCGTACATGATCCTGGAGCTCGTGCTGTTTCTGCATGATGGGCATTGAGAGCAGCAGAAGCTGCAGGCTGTACTGCCGCACAGACAAGCGAGCTGGAAAAAAAAAACAATTAATCATTGATTATTCAGATTGGTAGAATATTATTTCATGATATGATCATGAGAAAGCGCAAAATTACCTGCGCTGTGGAGCAAACGAGACCCATTATTTACTGCTGTAAATCTCAAGTCGATTGCACTCTGCTAGACTCTCGTGGAAGTTTAAAAATTACTCGATGTCCTTTTTATCGAGATAATGCGTAGAATGTTGAGTGATTGCAACTGCCAAACGGATAAAACACAATGGCTGCTGGTACTTATCGAGTATGATCAGTTATGACAGTCTCTCATGACCAACTTCACTTCTAATTCCGAGAAAAAGTTCATATCGATAATATTTCTGGAACTGTCCAGCACCGATATAGAAAATTTTCAACAAATCGATATGTGGATAGCCTAACGAATCGATATTTGAATTATCGATATATCGAAATGGCAATAAATCGATATGTGGAATTTCTAACGAATCGATATTTGAATTATCGATATGCTTGCTCTTGCATGCTCTAACGTAAACCCAAGATGCCACCATATTTAATCCCCGTACATTGGTTGAATGATAAAGATGGCGTCTTCTTGGGCTTTTTCGTAATATTTCTCGAATTGTCCAACACCGGTATATAAAAATTTTAACAAATCGATATATGGACAGCCTAACGAATCGATATTTGAATTATCGATATATCGAAATGGCAACAAATCGATATGTGGAATTTCTAACGAATCGATATTTGAATTATCGATATGCATGCTCTTGCATGCTCTAACGTAAACCCAAGATGCCGCCATATTGAATCCCCGTACATTGGTTGAATGATAAAGATGGAGTCTTCTTGGGCTTTGTCGTAATATTTCTCGAATTGTCCAACACCGGTATATAAAAATTTTCACAAATCGATATATGGACAGCCTAACGAATCGATATTTGAATTATCGATATATCGAAAATGCAACAAATCGATATGTGGACTTTCTAACGAATCGATATTTGAATTATCGATATGCATGCTCTTGCATGCTCTAACGTAAACCCAAGATGCCGCCATATTTAATCCCCGTACATTGTGTGAATGATAAAGATGGAGTCTTCTTGGGCTTTGTCGTAATATTTCTCGAATTGTCCAACACCCATATAGAAAATTTTCAACAAATCGATATATGGACAGCCTAACGAATCGATATTTGAATTATCGATATATCGAAAATGCAACAAATCGATATGTGAACTTTCTAACGAATCGATAGTGGAATTATCGATATTTTTGATAATCGATTCTGAGAAAAAAATCGGCATTGAGTCGCTCGTGCATGCTCTAACGTAAACCCAAGATGCCGCCATATTTGATCCCCGTACATTATTTGAATGATAAAAATGGAGTCTTCTTGGGCTTTTCCGTAATATTTCTCGAACTGTCCAGCACTGATAAATAAAAATTTCAACAAATCGATATGTAGAATTCCTAACGAATCGATAGTCGAATTATCGATATTTTTGATAATCGATATTGAGAAAGAAATCGACATTTTCGAATCGAATGTTTATTGTTTCCGCGCATGTTCCATTCTTTTTATATTTTGTTATCGTTTTCCTGGTGCTCGGTTGCCGCCTAAATTGAGACGAGTGTCGTGGGAGAGTTCGAGGATATTAGACCGGTAGAATCACCACAAGAAATTATTTTCAGCCCGAAGTCTCGAACCAGATGGTATGTAAATATTAATACCAATAAATAATTCTCGGGAGATAAATAGTGCACAATCACAAAAATAATAATAATAATATATAATATATATTTTATTTTCTTACAATACGATATTAACTCAAATGTTTATTATCTATTTATTTAGCTACAAATTTTTCCCATTATTATTTATTATCAGAGGAATTTTTTATTCAGTATGAGATCAATTGGAGTGGGAATTGCGCTCCGAAATGAGGAGTAAACAATGAAGTTGTCATTGGAAATGTTTAATCGACCTGCAGATTCTTCCCGGTAGCATTCCAATGTCTCTTGCTCATACATTCTGCGGAATATAATGCTGAGTTTATTCTCTGAACATTTACAGTGACTTACGTCATACTTTTTAATACTTCGCGCCGTGAATTATTGCACTCGAACTTATAGTCATGAAGGTTACACTGATATTTGATAGCTTATGCTCGTCATTTTTGTTAATTAAGTCATTCACAAGCTCAACAGAATCTAAAGATTTTTTAAACAATCAGAATATTCTATAATAACAAATTTAGAAATCGATTCTGAAAAAATGAGTCACAAATCAATTAAATTGCCTGCGAGGACTAGGTAACTAGGTAATCAACTTAATTTGTAAAATTTTAAATGGATAATTAATGAATTATTGATAGTCTCATGAATTCTAAAGGTTCTCTGTTTTCTACAGCTGATTCATAATGTCAACTTGAATAATTAAGACACACCATGAGTGACCCAAAAATAGAAAAGGAGATGGCAGTGGATGAGGACGTGAAAAATAATAAAACGAGTTGCTCGTACTTGACAATAGGATCCTTCAGTACTTCAGCGTTAATTAGAATAGCAGCTGTTGGAGTTATTTGGAGCTTTGGGTACATGCACTGGAGTATTGCGTGGTTATTACCCCCAGTATTCCTCTCTGTATGGAAATATGAGAGTAAAAAATATGATGAATTGAAGAGACTGACTGCCCAGGCGACAGTCATGGCTAATGAGAAAGACATAATCACGAATAGAATGAATGATTTACCCTCGTGGGTATATTTCCCGGACTTCGACAGGGCCGAGTGGTTAAACAAAGTGAGCAATAAATTTTCTAGTCCACACGAACAATCCACACGAACAATTAAATTAAAAAAAAATTTAGCTACCATTATTGAATCCGCAGCAATTCAATTACAGAATTGATCTCTTACCTCTGCATTAATTATTCAAAGTAATAAATGACTTCTGCAGGTACTCTATAAAATTTGGCCGGGCATTAATCACTTTGTGCGTAACTTAGTGAGAGAATCGATAAAGCCAGCAATCGTGAAGGCCCTGTCTGAATACAAAATGCCTGGATTTCAATTTGACAGATTGGTATTGGGTCGAATCGTAAGTATCATCTAATTATTATTCAAGGATGTCTAAGTAGAACAGACTAATTTTAATAATCAATACCTGAAGATGTACTTAACGACGAGCAGAGGAGAATATTCTAATCTCGAATTATTTAATAGTACATCATTAGTTAGTCTCAAATGATATGACTAATCATGAGTTATTTTTGTATTTTCAGCCCCCCAAGATCTATGGAATCAAAACCTATGAGAAAGACACATCTAGGAATGAAATTATATTAGACTGCGAAGTGCTGTGAGTGTTTTTTTTATTTTAGGATTATTTCAGGGTGTTTGTAATTGTTTTTTTATTGTTGAAAAATTAATTGTACAGATATGCTGGGGATTGTGATATTTCTTTTACTCTGGGGACCATCAAGGGTGGAATACGAGACTTCCAACTTCGTGGAATGCTCCGGATTGTTTTGAAACCGATGTTGACAGTGATGCCACTGGTGGGAGGAGTTCAGATATTCTTCTTGAATAATCCAGAGATCGATTTCAATCTCGTTGGTGCTGCTGACATCCTGGATTTCCCCGGTCTAAAGTAATTTATTTAATTAACAATTCATTAAATTACTGAATTGATCTTAATTATTCATTTTAGGCAAGCACTGAGGAAAGTCATTAAGGAGCAGTTTGCTAGATTTTTGGTGCTTCCAAATAAATTGGTGATCCCTCTGACCCATGATATTCCTACGGAGATTCTGAAAATGCCAGAGCCTGAAGGTGTCTTGAGAATTCACGTGGTGCAGGCGAAACATCTCATGAAAAAAGACATCAGTGTTTTGGGAAAAGGAAAGTCTGATCCTTATGCCATTATCACCGTTGGATCACAGGAATTTAGGACTAAAACTATTGACAATACTGTTGATCCCAAGTGGGACTTTTGGTGTGAGGTATGCGATTTATTTATTGATCCATCGATTTAATGTTCTGATGATTAATTAGGGGCAGTTCTATGCACGTGCTTCGCTCATGAATGCACAAGAATTGTTTGTCCAGAATAATAGATATTTAGATTTTCAGAGTACTAATGAAATTTTTCATCCATTCAAAATCTATCACTTTTAAAAAATCGAATTTATTATTAATTCCCACGAATCGGAGAATAAAATAAATTTTGGTAATTATTTATTAGATATTTCAGTAGTGAAGCGGTGGAGTAAACATTGTCAATCGATTTATCCAGGAATATCTCGGGGTATATAAGAGATAGAGAAATTTTTATTCTTATCTTTTTTTGAGAGTAATGTGAGGGCTATAAAAAAGATTATAATGGAAAAATCGCTATCTCGTGGGATATCCCTGGAAAATTCCATTACCACTTGATTACTGATTTTTCATACGTATGTTTGTGATGTGATGCGTGGTGTGTTGTATGGAATTAGTGTATCGTGACATCAGCTGTTGGCCAACAAATGGGAATATCTCTGTGGGACTTTGACGACACCAAAGAGGACGAGCTGCTCGGCAGGTATGACATGTAGATTATTCAATGATTTTATTCTTTCAATCACATGTGTCGTAACTCAATGTCTCTAAGTACTCAGGTAATTGTGCTTTCTGATGCAGTGGTTATTGTAATTGCTTGGGCAATGGTCGTGGGAGTGATTGGTCATTTGTCTATTGTCTACTAATTTTCAGAGCTAGAGAAGACGTAATTTTATTTCAAAACACAATGAATTCGTTAAATAATTCCATCGGATCTCTAGCAATTCTATGGAATCTTTTTTCACGAGTTCGTTAGGGTTTTTTGTTTAAATTATTGAATTTGTTGTCCATTTATAATGTATTGTGGTATTGTGGTACCTAGACCGTGATCGATACTTGGAGTTTCGGGCTAGACGCTGCGATATCAATCTGGGATTGGGATCCCAATATTCCTGGGGTTGAGACAGATGATTTACTCGGAAGGTAGTTGACACAAATATTGATTTATCACGGGACAATTACCCGATTGAGAGTGCCATCGATTAATAATCAATAGTTTAATTAATGAATGGCTTCTATCGCATGCTCACACATTGTCATCACTTAATTATTTATTTCGAGTGCAATTACTGAAAAATTTTCAATAAATTATTGTTTTTGAGTGAATTAACTAAAACAGCTTGTGTGGTGGAAGTTTATAGTGGAAGATAGTGCTGGCGCCTCCAACTCTGTCATAACTCGACTCTTTGACAAAGACAACACTGGGACTGATGATCCACTTGGAAGGTATTTCCATGTCAAAAATTTCAAAGTGCTACCCCAGACGTTAAATTATATTAGTTGAACACTCCAGACGATTTCACGCGTATCAGAGAATCCACAGAATTTAATCACCAGATTTTGCATGAAATTTTAACGCTAATGTCTTGCTGATATCTCTGTATTTTATTGGGAATGCAGTCGTTATAAATGCCTCTCTCGCTTACAATTATTATTAATTATCCTAGACATTAATATTTTGATTGTTTAATTAATGGATTTAGAGCCACCACTGAAGTGAGTCGAGTCAGGGAAAAGGGAACTATAGACGCGGTAAGCCTGAATAATTAGTGGAATTCATTAATTTTTCAAGGGAATTTGAAGGGAAATTAATTGATGATTATTTTTTGGGGTGTCAGTGGTTTACACTTGAGTCTGCTAAACATGGGATGGTGCATCTTCGATTGACGTGGCTGAAGCTCTCGAAAAATCCTGGAGATCTGCAGGCAGTGAGTGATGAAATTGATAAGATAAATAAAAAGTTTAATGACTAGATGTCTTTTTACCAATTTCCACTGGATTCATAATTTTAGGCTCTGATAGAGACTCAGCAGTTACGAGTGACCTCCATGAGTACAGCCCTTCTGACGGTCTTCATAGATTCAGCGAAGAATCTCCCCTGTCTCCGAGGCAGCAAACAACCTGATGTATTTCTCGAGGCGACTGTTGGCAGTAAAACTGAGAGGACATCGACGATGCTGCGTTCCTCTGATCCAGTCTGGGAGCAGGGGTTCACATTCCTGGTAGCCCATCCAGAGACAAATAATTTGAATATCCGAGTCATAGACGAGAAGACAGGGAGTGTCGTTGGTGTTTTAATCTACAATATAGCAAACCTCATGAGCAAGGTCGATATGGAGGACACACAGCAGCCCTACGACCTTCTCAATGCCTCCCCCGAGAGCAAACTCATCATGTCCATGAGCCTGAGGATTCTGAAGTATGAAGGACCTGAGAGCTTCGTCGATGACGAGGAGGACGAGGACATAAATTCCCTGAAGAAGAGGATTGAACGACAGGAGTCGAATATCAGTGGCTCTCAGGGCAGCAGTAGGCCGTCAACTCCGTTGAAGAAACAGGTGTCCAAGGAGTCATTGCAGAGCTCCACGAATAACACAGGCTCTGATCAAGGGGCCAATCTTCCTGAAATAGTGGATGAGGGTAATTACGAGGAGACTATCACCCCCGCGTACGTATCTGAGAGCAATTTGCATCCAGGACTTTTACATCGGAATCCTAGTGTCATGTCATCAGCTGGGGAATTTAAACTCGGGAGGATTCAGCTCACCCTGAGGTACAGTGTACCCAGGCAGAAGCTGATGGTTGTCGTACATAAAATATCGAATTTACCATTGCCTCATAATGATCCAAATAATATACCAGATCCCTACGTTAAACTTTATCTTCTGCCGGATAAACACAAGGAGACGAAACGAAAAACAGCTGTGATGAAGGATAATTGTAATCCTACGTACGACGAACAATTCGAGTACATCGTATCCCAGGGAGATTTGAATTCGCGAATCCTGGAGGTGTCGGTGTGCACGCAAAAGGCCTGGTTGTCAACAGGAACTAAAGTCATGGGTCAGGTTCACCTCAATCTTTCGGAGATCGATGTCTCCAGGGCGACTTCTGCGTGGTACGATCTCGTACCGGAGATCAAGGATTAATTATCAAGATTATCAAGCTTTTTTAAACTTTTCTATGCAATTTTCATCACGAATTTTTCATGAATTTGATATCTACGTTAGTACAAATACGCTTTCTAATCATCACTGATAACAATTGTTGTAAAACTTCAAATATTTATAAATATTGTTTTGCTGTTTACTTTCTTTATTCGCGAATTGCTATCGAATGGAAAATCAATAAAAATTTTATCGTCTCAAGGCAGAATTCTATACTTTTTTTAATAAAAATACCTTTCGCCTTGTCAAATCAATTCTCTTACTGGTGTTACCAAGGAAACGCGTTGATTACTCTATCTCACCGAGAATTGAGGTAAAACCAACAAAAATCTTCGCGATTCAATAAAAAATTATCTCACCCTGAAAAATTAATGGAAAAAATGCGTCGCGCTGTTGTATGTCTCCCAGGATTTAATTTTGATGACAAGGTAAATCTGTTTTGCTGCAATTACTCGGGATAATTAATTGAAATAATTATCTGGGCTGTTGTCATTTTTTGGGAAGATTGGAAGAACGAATTTTCACAGGCCCCAGCACTTTGAAAAAATTCACGATGGTGTCTATTATTTGGCTGAAAAACCAATTGTAGAAAAAAATTCGAGATATCCTTCAAATTATTCTTACATCGACGAACCCAGGATTCCCCCATGGATCGCCTATGATGGTCAAGTAATAATAATAATAATATAATTACTCCATTGTGATTTTTTGATTGTAATATTTTTGGTTCTTTAATCGTCCAGAGATTAATGTTTCAAGGATTTTTCCAAGAAACCGTCGAAGAGCGTTGGAAATCGTCGCACCAGATTCGTCTGGTGACCATAAGTTTTTTCCTCGAGGATGGCACTATGAAGATCGTGGAGCCAGCGATCAGTAATAGTGGCCTGGAGCAAGGTGTCCTGGTGAGACGTCAAAGAATTCCAATACCAGATCGAGTTCCTTACAGATTCTACGACATCCTGGACTTGAATATTGGAAAAGAGCCAGAGATATTTGGGAGGGTTTACAAAATTGTGAATTGTGATAAATTCACCAAGATATTTCTGAATCGAATGGGAATTCCTGTTCCTGACCCCATCGATCTGCCCTCCGATCCTTACATAGAACGAAGAAGTGTGGTAATTCTTATTTGAATAATTCTCATGATTTTTAAAATAATAATGCAATCGAAAAATTGTAGCCGACGTTTGCAAAGAAGCCGAATAGAAAAATCGATACGTTGGGAAAATTTCTGACGTATGACAGAAAGGTATTGAGATTTTACGGATATTGGGACGACAGGGAATCAGAATATGGGATAATTCATGACCTGGAGGTGAGGTACTACCTGGCAGATGACACAATCGAGATTAAAGAGATTTTACCGAAGAATTCAGGAAGAGAGGGCAGTTCGATGTACATAAAACGCATGAAAATTCCCAAAGTATGATTTAGCGATGAATTTTTCAATTCTCTCCTTGAAAAAATTATTGCAATAATTAAATATTTCATTATTTCCTGAAGTTTTTCTCTGGAATTGAATCTGTGGGGTCCAGTGATCCTTTCACGGTGCTGAATGTCCTCGGGGACAGTGGGGCCCAGAGTTATTTTATTCCTGATGCCCTGAATGCTGGAGAGACTAAAAAGGATTATTATAAGGACAGTGATTTAATTATCGGGACGAGTATGAATGTATTTGGACGAGAGGTTGTCATTACGGATCTCGATCCTACCACCAGGGAATACTATAGGTATTATTATTATTTTGTGTGTTGGGAATATTTAATCATTTTTTATACTCAAGGGGGAAGTATGGAATCGAGGAGTTTAAGCCTCTGGAGAAGCCAGAGTCCGCCTCCAAGTGCTTCATTAACGAAAAACCTAAACCACCACCGTATAATGGCTTTGGCTCCTACGATGATTCCCTCGGTAATTGTTTTAGTGTCATACCCAAACCACCGAGAATGGATTACGCTAGATTCGCTGCATTTGATAAGTAAGTCGTAATTAAATAATTAATTACGCGGAAAAACTTTCAATTATTTCAATTATTTCAATAGCGAATTATTTTAATGATGGAAAAATGCGAAATAATTGGAAGTATTGATCAATTGAATTTGACTTTCCATTCATTATTGCACGAATTATTTTTTAGACAGGGGTATGACAGCAAAATCCTGAGTTTTCGGGGAAAAATGTTATCTAACATTCCGGAAAATTCATCTCGCAATTTTATAATTCGTGTGTACTTGATGGATAATACTGTATCGATTTTCGAGTTCGCTACGAAAAATGGGGGATTCACTCGTTCATTATTTCAAAAGCGAATGGAAGTGCCTCTTCCAGGGCAAGAGTTTTACTCCAGCGTGAAGCCCCAATACTTCGAGCCCCACGATTTCTACATCGGCGCTGATCTAAACCTCGGAGGATTTAATTTTCATCTGACATCGGCCGACGATTACACATTACGGTACATGGAGTTGAACTGCGACAAGTTTTCAAGGGCGAATGCAGCGATGATAATTAGTAAAATGAGGGAGGGACTCAAGCCATCGTATAAACACTTCCTGGAGGAGTTCCGTCCAGTCATGGAGACCGATGGAATATTTGTGCTGCCTTACGAGAAGCTGCGGGAGAGTCTGATGATTTATTTGAAAGGCCGGGGAATTGTTGAGCATGAGATCATTACGATCGCTAGAAGATATGCCTTCAGACGAAATGAGCAACATGATACGCGAGAGTATCTGAGGTAAATCACGTTTTTTCAACAGAAAAGGGGGATCTTCTGGAAAATATATTAATTTATCATTTGATTCGTTCATTTGATTGTAATTATTTTTTAATTAAAATCTGATTGATAGACGTTTAATCCACACCGAACTCACCCGCTTCCTCTGGAACAACTTGGATCGCCTCGCCGAGGATATCAATCACTGGGATCCATCATCCACTGGTTTTCTTCCCTCCACCTCCATCTACACAATCCTCCGAGGGTGCAGACTACCCCTAGATCCCCAGCTCATCAACTGTCTCCTCAACCAGTGAGTCTGATCTCATGAATTAATTCGCAAGAATTTCCTCGGTAATGAATATTTATCCCAAAAAAAAATCTCTTGACCTCTTTATCCCCAGCTTGCGGAGAAATCCAGAAGGAGAGATTGATTGTCACGACTTATTAGACTTCATGAACGTCAAGATAAACTCGTCACCTCCAGTTGTACCGGTGGCAATCAGCACTCTTCCTTGGTGGAATTCAGATAAGGACGGGGGGGACTGCTGTCCAGGAATAAACTGGAATGAATTAATAAAGGATCTTGATATAAAGGAGGACGATCCAGCCTCCGCCAATTCTCTGTAATAATTACAGTTATTACTCGATAATTGAATATTATTTCAATGCTACATTCGTATTTACACAACTACGTTCTATCCACCGATAAATCTAATTCTATCACTCATAAATATGCGCGTGGATAAATGACTTTAGCACAATCATGATGAATACTGAGTTAATAAATATTATTACCCATTGGTAAAGTACGATTGACGTTATCGAGTGCTTTCGATCGATCATATTCCAATAATTATTCATACAGTTAAAGTTACCGTGGAAATGAGTAAAAAATATAATGAGATAATTTTTCAGAGTTTCTTCTGGAGTTGTGGCATTTTTTTCATAAATAAATTTGTGGAGGATATGATTTTAGTTCAATTGCACTCGTATGTCGTTATCACACTTCTGCATGTTTTACACTGTACACTGTAACAACAGCTGATGTATTTGCACTGACATCGCTCGAGAATTTCTCGGGTCTTCGTTATGTGTCCACGTCCACAGCAGAGGTATTCGCATCCCTCGTATCCTGGACTGCTGCCGTTGCATTGTCTGAAATTAATTAACAAGGATTTTAAGGATCAATGGAAAATTATTGGTGTGTGGAAAAAATTGCCCTGTCGTAAACACTTCTCTCGCAGGCAACAGCGTGAATAATTCAAGGGTCGGTCTTCCCCAGGAGGCAGTCCGTGTCTAATACAGCGGAATAAAAAAGTCAGGGAGAAAACCCGGAAAATTTCATGGGGATAATATCCAGAGGACGAGAATAAATTGACAATCTAGAGAAATTTATAGAAATTCAGAGAAATTAATTGGAGCAATTGCATAATTTATTATGAATTAATTCTCATTTATAATTGTTCGCATAAATAAAATCGGTGGCGAACACGAGAGTCAGTACCCACACAGGAAGCCTGAGGAAAAAAAATAGAAATCAACAGGAATACGTTATTAGCACCTGAGATAAAATATCGTACCCTCCCTGGGGGCATTATCCCAGAGGCGTATAAGTTCTGCACGTGCATAAGAAAGTGATAGGAAAAGAAGCAATTTCCTGTACACCCACGGGCCTGTCCTCAGATTAAAGTGAGAAAATAAAAAATTTTTAACAACTCATTGCACATGTGATACTGCCCCAGAATAAACCTTGAAGGAATAATTATCTAAAAAAAAATAATTAAAAAAAAAATAGATAAAAAAATCATTGGAAATCCTCGGAAATCTGGAATTGCAATTGCAATAATTTTCATAATATTCACCATCCCCTATATATTATTATATTTATATTCCCAGTAATTTAAAAATTTTTTTTAACTTTGGTTCATCCCATTTTTCAAAGAGCTGGATTCAATTCTTTATACTTATCCCCCCAGGTATTCATGTACTTCGAAAAGTTAATCCTCGAGAAATGTTGCATCAACGAATTCGCCGAGTTCAAGGCAGTTCATACAATAATTCATAATAATAATAAATATTAATCCGGTGGCTGACCTTCCAATTGTTCCTAGGCTGCCTCGTTTTTTATCCGGTATGCAGTAATCCGGGCTTTTAGTTGTGTACAACAAATTGTCGTGGTGATATAGAGGCGGAAGACGACTGCCGGATTTGGCTCTTACTTCGGCGGCTGTTGCGTATTTGCGGAATAATCGTGCACCAGCTGCCGACGGACCCTTCGAATCTAAACCACGCCAACATGTTCTTACACTGCAGGAACCTGATACACCGTGACATTTACACTCCAGAGTCAATGATTGTTCCACAGCCTGAAAACAGAATCTTCAATGTCATCATCCAGCCAATCAAATTTTCCCACTGATTTCCATATTTATCGTCAATTATCGATTCAAGATAATTGGCAATGCGATATATTAGGGAAGACAAATTGACATCCGGACCAAATTGACTTGTTAAATTTAATGATGTGGAAGGAAAAAAATGGGAAAAAAAGGATTTACCCTTCGACCGGCGCGATTATTATGCATATTAACAGCGTGCATAAATTTAGCGGTGGATCCTGTTCCCGTTGGGCTTGAGCCCTGGAGAAATCTCTTGGCTAGTCTGGATGCTGATCTGACGTCGTCTCCGCAGCCACCCCATTTGAAAGAATTTCTAGCTGACATTGCGTCGAATGACACGGATTTTGATGTGAACGAGGTCGATGATGTGAGGGCTGATGGCGAGGGTGGCTCTCGTCTTGGTGGTGTTGCACAGGAGCACGCAGCTAGGTTTCCCAGTGCACATCCACGTGCCAGTCTCCAAACAGCAGCTGCTGCTGACATGGCGTAGACAAACGCCTGCTCCCTCGTACCTATCAATTATATCAGATGATGAATGATCAGTTTTAACGTACGAATAATGAAATTTATTATTTTACCCCGCCCTTTGATAATCATACTATTTTTAATGGTAATTATTCATTAAAATTGTTATAAATTATATAATCATTCGTTTAAAATTATAAATTATTGGTATTTATTATTTTAATTTCATCGGAAATAATTTTGAAGAATCGAAAAATGCAGAAATGTTTGTAAATATCAAATAATTTGTTAATGGCGTAATTTTTTCCGAAATTTTCTGTAAAAAATACAGAATTATCAGTAAAAATGAGGGATTTTTATTGTTGGAGTTGGAGTTGTCATTGGGGTTTAATTTCTATAGATATCGAGTGGCTATAGGATCCAGGGAAAGATGCCAAAGCATGAAGAAAACGAGAAGGCAGGGAAGCCAGTTTGGCGAGTGAACACCTAATCTTTTTCGTTTGGTAATAGCCTCTAATTACGCAGTCGCTTCGGGGTCTTCCCATTCAATGGTAGATCTATCCTCTCACTTTTCTCCTCGTACCTCTCTCTCGCCAGTTTTTTTTTTGCCGGTTATTTTTCTTGTTTCACTCACTCGAAAGGGGAATACTCGGGGATTGCTCCGTGAGTTATCGGCTCCGCCTCTTTTACCCCGTTGTAAAATCACGATATTATTCAGTTCGTGTTGAAGAATACGTTCACTGACATATTTATTATTTATTCAAGCTGACGACATGTGCTTCCTATTATCCATTTATCAATAGCAATTATCACTTGAATTTTCAAAACTCAATTTCACTTTGAATTTCGCAATTTTAATTGATTTCCAATTAAATTTTTGAGTCCATGGCGATTAATTTGGAATTTTTAATTCGAAATTTCGAATTCGGAATTTGGAATTGGCGATTTTAATTGAGATTGTGAACAGTTATTTAGTCCTGCAGGAGATTATAATTAATTATAATTAATTATAATTAATTATAATTAATTGGAGGTGATTTTTGGGGAATTATACCTGATAACAAATCAGGGGTGTAATGAGGTGCTCGTTCGATACTACTGCAATTCCATCGTCGATTCCTGAATGCCTGTTGACAGACAGCAGTTGTATCCCTGGCAGCTTGAACAATACTTGGCATGACATCAGTTGTGGCTCTGCAAGCTCTGGCCTGTTTTCTCTCCAGGAGTCCTGAGCTCTTGGCAGCGGTGCACGCCTCCCTCGTCCACACCCTCGCATCGTTGCTCTTCCCCAGAGCCCTTCAACACCAACCAAACAATTTCCATTCCAAATAATCAATCATTCAATTTAATTCCACATTTAATCGCTCAAATCTATTTCTCATCTGGAGAATTTTCCTCGTTTACGTTTTACTCGTGAAAATTAACTCGTAAATCAGAGGTTTGAATGACTATTCAAAATTATTGGGCATTCAAAACTCCACAGCGCATATTGTAATTACGATGAGAACACCTCGAAAGTCGAAATGGCCACGGTATATGTCTAGACGTATAATGGAAATGGTCGAATCACCAACCCCAGGATTCACAGTATTTCGACCTGAATCACCCCATCAAAACGATGCCAGATTTCCATTCTCTCTCACTCCAAGTAAATTTTCCAAAAATTTATCATTCCCTCAAAATACTCGAATTTACACTCAATATTTCAATATCTAATAATTAAAAAATTGACTACTTGAATCGATTGACATATTTAGATATTTTTATTGACTTTAAAAATTCATTTGAAGTGAATTGATTTGAAGTGAAATTGAATTACGCAAATTGTTAATTTCTGGGAGACGTGTAATTGAATTATTGTTGGGGCTTATTCCAATTGAAAATATTCAATTTAAATGGGGTATGTACGGCTGATTGTTTCTTGCGTATCACCCAGGATGATCTACTTGAACGGGTTTTCAAGGCATGTTATCCATAAATATTTATCGTGCGTGCTTGTGATTGGTACAAGAGGTACGTATATAATGGGCCACAATACGCTCCACAGAATTCAAAAGCGAATAAAATTCCAACTCACACGTATTACTTATCATCCATTTAATTATATACTTGTTAAATTTACGATTAATAGCTGTCGATGATATTCTTGACGCACGAGGAAAACGTCGTTGCACTGTTATTTAATGTATATTAAATCGACAGGGTAATTTTTTTATTTTTACTTATCATCGAGTTCATTGAATTATAGATTTCAAAACTTCAGTTTTTTTGGGGGAATTTTTACCGCTGAATCTGGGGCATTTCCTGGAATCGCAGGTGAATTGGAATTTTTTAGATGATTAAATTGATAATAATTTAATTTAGTTTGGTGGAAATTATTTATATTTGTGCTATAATTTTTAGGGATTTTTTAAGGCTGTGGTATCTTGTTCCATTTTCCCAGGAACTCCAGGGGAAAAAATTCGGTTAAAATTTGTAAATCGATGAGCGAAGAAGCGAAAAAAATCTTCACTCATTGGCAAGATTTCACAAATTAATCTGCGCCAAATGCCTCATAAAGTTGTATCTTTATATTGGACGGATAATAGTCGTCTGTACAACCTGTAGCGCTGGAACGTTAATCCGTTGGAAGGTCGTGTGTCATCAGCAAATATAAGTTCCAGGATGGAATTTTAAAAAAATGTCAAATCTCAAGAAAAATTCGCGATTAACTGATCTCCGATGAGAATGATTTCACACGAGACCGAAATCAAAATCGAAATTCTCATAAATTGTTTTAAAATCGGATGTAATCCCATGAAATTCCATCAGATCATATGAAATCGTTTGAAATGATATGAAATCCGAGAGAATTGATAACGCGCGTGAAGAAAATTCTATTTTATGCTGAAAAAGTAAACGAATTCATTAATTTTGGGCAATTAAATTGTAATCATTAATTGTAATTTATTATAAATGATAATGGGGTGGGTCTCACCCTCTCGGTAATCACCGTTTCCCTCTGACTCAATCTAGAAAGCACATTCCAACCACCTTGTACAATTTTTGGTGTTGCTTCGGGTTGTTCTCCTATCTGCACGCAAAACAACCATCGCTCCTTCATTCATCATTTCCCCGCGCCTTAAAACCCCCCAACCATCAAATTCACCTCCCAGAAATATAATTACACTTCACCCTTATAAATCCAGAGTATAAAAAAAGAAAGAAAATTCTCTCACCGAGATTTATTCGATTATTTTCTCCCGTCAATTTCACCAGTGGAAAATCATTTCACGTGAAATTCCTTGGAACCGGTGGAAGTCTTTTCAGGAGATTCTCTTGTCACGCGAGAATTTTTTAGTGGTTTTCAGATTGAAAATTATGTCCTCTTTATAAATTCATGGGCTTTGGGTTAACAACTTTATAAATCATTTGAATTAATCGCAAGATATTTTAAATGATTGTGGAAATATAACGCGAAAAATCAGCACCTGAAATGATTAATTGATAAGAAAAATTCCCATCCGAATAATTATTTAATTGAAATATATTTATTTAAAAATGAAATAAAATTTCGATATCTTATCGTGCACGCGGCATCAAAATTCCCACAATTTATCGAACATTTCTCATTAATCTATTCCACCTGGGGGTATATTAAAGGGATCGCCCGTGGACTCAATCCTTCTATTTGTTTCTCATTAAAACGATCGCATTAATCATACATACGAGTTCTGAAGAAACTCTGCGTGTGGGAGAATCGTACTTACGCCTTCATTCACCCCCAAAAAATAATGAGTAATCCTAAATAATTATTTTCATTACTTACAGCCACTTGATGCTAGATCCACCATGAACAGACAATAACAAAATGATAATAATCACAGGCCACGGTGTCTCCTCGCACTTGGTTACATTCATTGTTAATAATCTCGGTAAATTGATTAATCTTCTCGATTAATCCTTACATCGTTAATTATAACTCAAAAATATTATTGTCAATGGGTCAAGGTTTTAGAGCACATGATGAGTCACTGATTGGATAATTTTCTTCTCATACATCATGTTGGAGACAATTTGGATCCATTGGTGTTACAGGTGTTGAAAAAAAATTAATGCTTCTCACTCGGTGGTTAACCAGATTGTGATGTACTCCAGAAATTTTGATGGCAACGTAGGTGGATGCGCTGTTGGTGTATAGAGTCGGCGCGGGTTGACGTGATCCTCAGAAAGAACGTCCTCGAGTATCGAGTCAGGATACATACTGACAGGGGCACGTTGAAAGTCAGGATGGAGAGGTAAAAGAATGGTGGTGGCTCCAAATTCATCCCCACCATTACAAACCACTATCCAATAACCATCTGTCTTCCTCCAGGAGTCATTCACTAGTTTTTCACCAGCAGATCGTCCACCAGATCTTTTCAATCAGCTATCATCGATGCACCACCTCAAATCATCAGGACTCGTACATCACCTGTCTCCAGGTGCTTTTTATTACTCGTCCTCGGGGATACCTGTGGTGATACCCTGAAGACTCCATTTCCCTTTCATCCTCTTCGTCTTTCAACAATCAGTTCATCGATCAATTCAACTTCTAATTGATAATTAATTGGAGAAATAACATTACCTTCATTATCAGCGATTATGATGGACTTATTTTGCTGGTTTCCAGGAGAACTGGAGGAAATCAGGTAAACGCAGGGACCAACGAGACCACCGGAGTAATTATGTCGGCTTATTAATTGAGTCAATTCAATTGATAGACAAATATTGAAACTCGGAAATTGGACGATCAATAGAATACAGTGGAATCGAAAGAGTGAATCCTCTTTGGGTACACTCAAGGCCAATCGGCTCAGTCATCCTACCTCCCTTGAAAAACCATTCATATTGATAATTAGTATGATCGAGTTCACAATACCAGAGCTTTATTTTACCTTTTTTTTTTATTTATTTTTTCTCCTGGCTGCCTCACCTTCCCATTTTTTTCTCTCTTGGCCGTTCTTCGCCTCAATTTCTCTTTCTCCATTCTACCTTTCTCAATCTACCATTCTTTCCCTTTCCACTTCCCACCACCGACCGATAAATAATCCTCTGTCAGACGTTCATTACGTCGTTAAGTTTTCGGCCCAAACTTATCCCGCACCTTCACCGGCCAGCCTATAATAAGTACTTGTATATACCTGCTGCCTCTTCCTCCTTCTTTTTCCATCTCGAGGTTCCTCACAAAAAACCTCGTCATCAACGAGCCATTTATACTCACTGAGATAATAAATTATTGAATTTTACCCTTGGGGTTGCTCCGGGGGTGGATGAACGGTAGAATCTGAAAATCTACTCCGAGACTTTGATATCCATTTTACCCCAGGTTTTTCCAGGTCTCCAGATGTCTCCAGGTTGATCTAGAAAAAAAAATCAGTGGAACGAGCAATTAATTAGTGGCTGTCAATGGCTTGTTTTTTTTTTTAAATCTCTCAGCTCATTGGGATTTATGCAAAACTCTCTGCTGAAGAAATCGTGAAAGACAACGTTGGGAGGGGATGAGGATAAAATGAGAGGAATGGGACAAATGGTGGATTGTTGAAGAGGGGTAGAGACCAACGGCAGCTGCGAGTTGGTGCAGCTATTAAAAGCGACTTACTCAACCCCTCGCGAACGTACCAACAACCCCCTGTGTCCACACAAACATATATATTCCACGGGGCAAATGCCTGCCGATTTCTGTCAAATGAAGCGTGACAAGAGGTGCAAGCAAAGTCGCTTGAATTTACAACTGAAGAACACTTTCTCGTAGGGACGAAACAATGAGACAAAGCCCGATGTCGTTGAGTGCGAATGAATGAAGATTAGTCTATGCCACCGTTATGTATAACAATATGTACAATCCAGCGGTTGCATTCGACAGATCGGCATTAACAGCTTTACCGTCACGAATTCAATAATTTTTTATTCTTTCTTCATGGCCTGTTAGTTCTGGGTGACGAATCAATGCGTGTCACATCTTCTTGATGGTATCGGGGTAGAAAATTCTCGGCTCTTCAGGATATTGCGCAGACGGAAAAGATAATCCTCGGAAAATTCAAGGAATTCAAAATTTAAGGTGTGATTTTAGGTGATTTCGCTGATTGAATGGAGGGAAATGGAATGATTTTTTAAACAAGATCGAGAGATCTCGGGGAATCAATAAATGTAATTAATGCACCGAGTGCTACCGTCGGGGGATAACCCTGGGATAGGGGAGTGGTTATTAAAATCATATCAGTGGATACAACTTAACGATTAGCGATTCTCATCTACATAATGCCGATACAATGACCCGAGTTAACGCTGGAGTTGGTGGAAACGAGAGTTTACTTTTTTTCAATCTTATACATCATTCATAAATTTTATTTTCGTCACTGAGGTAGTGCTATAAATCAAAGAATTCTCCAAAATCAGGCAACATCCTCGCCGAGGTGGTGAACCTCATGTCCTGATTTTTTGTCATCCAGGGCATCCAGCTGCCATTGTGATAAATCGGATATGATCTTGGATCCACTGGTGCATTCGTCTGATTCATCAGGTGCTCCCGATATTTACCGATAAATTCCTCCAGCAATTCCACCATCTGAAAATTAATCAATTAAGTCGACAATAAGAATTTCTATTGATTTATCAAATATTTTTATTCAACCGATTTTTTTTATTGTTTTTAATTTTTATTTATTGATTTTTTACCTGTCGATTGATGATCGATAAATTATGGGGCACGTGGTAATTACTCACCTCGGGATGATCACTGGATATATCCCTTGTCTCGCAGGGATCGGTATTGAGATTAAATAAACAAATTTCAGAGCAGTTGGCGATTTCGGTGAATGGCGCACAGGTAATTTTACTCTCCTGTCGAAGGTGGAGTATTTTTTTGGGTCTTGCATAATTCCCCATGGTCCTGAAGATGGCTAGACTAGCTGGTGAGGACATGATTGCTGTTATGTTGTACGGAGGAACCGAAGGATCTCCATCATCGATATGACTCCCCAGATGACTGTCGTAAATCGGTATCATTGCACCTTAAATAATTATTTCCATTAACTAAATTATTCTCTATAAATAATTCAATATTAATTTATAATTAATCAATCATGATATTAATTAATCATAATTTCTCTTGATATTATTGAGGATAAATGATTCGGCGTGATGATGACCTTTTTTGAGAAGTTTAAAATCACCGATGATAGCTGCCTCTCGATCGATAGTCTCATCGATATTCACGAGCAATGATTGCCGATTACCAAATTGCCCTAGTTTTATTGTAGGCCACTGATTGATACCGTCAATGACACCGAGGTCATTGACATCACCACCAGCTGCATTGTACAGAGTTGGCAGCCAATCGGTAACATGTACAAGGTCGTTAACAATTCTCCCTGGATTTTTTATGAGTGGTGAGTACACGCATGCAACACCGTGCACACCACCTTCGTAGAACGACTGCTTTTGCTGAAAAATTATTTCTCTATTTAATTAATTATCTAATGGAAAAACCAACAGGTCCCCGATTTTTCCTGTTGTCCCGGTGAAATCGTCAGTTAAAAATAATCACGTGTTGGTGATGCGTTAACAATGAGTTCATAATTAATTGACGAGATTGATTGTTTAAGTAATAATATTGACGTACCCCACGGAAGGGATAATTCGATCCTCGATTCTCGTGGATTCCCAATGTCGGGGCGCCATTATCAGCGAAGAGCATGACGATTGAATTTTTTAATAAATTATTATTGCTGAGAGCTCGCATGACGCGACCGACGGAATCGTCTAGTGCAGTCACCATTCCTGGGGATAATTATGTATGTCCATTAAAATTATTTATTAATATGAAAAGATGATGGGAGGGAAGATGTCATGAGCGTATTTGCCACCTGCGTATTTGCGCCTTTTGATGTCTCGTATGTAATGAAATGTTTCATTGACAGCAGTGAAATTGCGGGTTTCCAGGGTTTCATCACCGTCACTGGCATGTGGAGCAAGATGGGATAGCTGAAGGTACAGGGGACGACGTCCATCGTGCTCCTCGATTATCCGAACCGCTTCATCCGCGAAAACATCTGTTGCGTATTCATTCTGCCTGGACCAATCTGCTTTCAACCCCATGGAATCGTCACGGTGAAAATCATGACCAGTTTGCCCCTGAAAGTAACAGCATCTAACAATTAATCCCAATAATTAATATTCATTACCACACAATCTGCAGCGAAGCGTAACGAACCGATTTATTTAATCGCTGACTCCACGAGGAATATCTCGGAATCCGGAAGACCTAGCGAAATTTCGATTGAACCTTTTTTTTAGATCTTGCTTTCCTCTAGAAAAAAGGTCCTGATAAATATTTCGGTATTTGTGCTGGATGCGGAGATATTCCTGGATAATTGCAAGCGTGAAGAAATCGGCTTGCTATCGTCTACTGGTAGTTGATTTCCGCGATAAAAAAATTCTCTGTCAATGCCATTGCCGGTGAAGAGAGGTAACTTACGCTCTGGGTAATTGTGTGATTGTAGTATGTGATGTAACCAGCGTAATATCCGAAGAACGTGTCAAATCCTCTTCTTGCTGGTGTAAAATCGTCACTCTGATAGCCCAGATGCCATTTACCAACGAGTCGTGTCGAGTATCCAAGATTCTTCAGGTATTCAGGCAGTAATTTTGTTCCCAGTGGAATACCCCGGGGCTCACCTGCTCTCAAGGGAAAGCCCTGCATACCTAGGTCATCATAATTAATACGTAATAATATTAAAATATAATAAATGAACAATTACTTTTCGTGCGCGTCAAATTGCTGCTGCATGTACGCGCGTGCTGAATTGTCTTAATGCATTGATCATGAGACATTCGCGTGATCGTCACATGACGCTAAATATCAAACAATTTTTAATGTTAAGTTATTCGACCTCAGGCAACAATGGAAATTTTACTTTTATTTTTCCCACGAAAAAATCGGTTGCGAGCCATTGGTTTGGGAGAAATTTTTGGAGATCGGATCGCTTCTTGGGGATCGGCGAGGATTTTTATTGATTTTTTTTTTACCTGCCCTGATGGCGTAGCGACCTGTGAAGAAAGATGTCCTGGAGGGAGTGCAGATCGGTAAGACGTAATGATTTCGGAGAATTACCCCGTTGTAGGCCAGGGCGTCGATATTCGGTGTGGGAATTTCATTCGAGCCGTGATAACTCACATCATTCCACCCCTTCAAAATGTGCAATAATGTATGAATAATTAATTAACGATTTTTTACGTTTTCCACCTGCAGGGAGCAATTCCCACTCAGTTCCAACTTTGACTATTTCGAAAATATCTCCGAAATTAAGGTGCATAGCGAAATAAGTGTAATAATCTTTTTTGCAATATTTAATTAGCTCTCCAAAAATGGTCTTATCGAAAATTTCACTATTTTTCTTAATTCCGCAGATATCCCCGAAAAACGAGAACGACTTTTACGACTCTTGCGTAAAATTTCTATAAAATTTCTATAAAATTAATTATGTTTCATTATAAATATCCTACGAAATCATCAGTGACAATCGCGATAATATTCGGCGGTTCTCCAGAATTTACGCGATAAATGGCTATCAAAGAGAATACTAAAACCGCCGAATTAATTTTAAAAATACATGACATGTTGACTGTTTGAGCGTTCAATTAAAAATGTTCCCTATTTCAAATATTTCTTCGCTCTTAAGGAGTCTCAAAACAAACCCTGGATTATCATAAAATTGCTATATATGAAATGAAATTAAATGAAATGTAAAAAAATCAATGCGTGTGACGTGCCATTATTAGAAAGATGTTTAAACACATTTTTTTTATGTACTCACCATATCATCCGCGATGATAGTAATAATGTGAGGTTTTTCGATATCCGTGTCCTTCGCATCGTCCAATTCAAACGTTATCACGAGATAAAGACAGAGGGAAATCGTCAAAAGACAAACTAACGCGACGAATATTCTAATTGTTCTCGATTTCTTAGTGGTATACATATTGAGCAAGCTTTACTCCGACGTTCGTTGATAGCGAATGAATGTTGTTTTAATTCTCATATGAGCACCAAGAGCTCTGTGACCTCGACGACAGTAAAAGTTTAATATCGATATGCTTTCTTGAGCAATAGGGAAGCGACTCAATGGCTTTCACAATTTTTTTTTTCACATTTTCATTTAAATTCTAATCGCGATGGATTAATACATTTTTTTCCAGGACCTTGAGCACTCATTAGCCCTGACATAGAGCTGAAGATGCTGTTCACTCAGTGACTAATTCCTCACTGGATCGTAACTATCGCGAGACGCGACACATAATTCTATTTCCCCGACGATTTAATGAATTACGTAATGTTTTGAAAATCATTCTGTTGTGAAGAGGAACAATGGATCATTGTCATTACTCTAGTCATGATTTTCGGTGGGTCTGACTCACGTCAAGTCCATCTTAAAAAAATGGATCATACAAAAATGGTTGAAACTATAATTAAAAAAATTATACAATCGTCAAATGTTTTATCAACAATATGTTTTTTTAATATTGATTTTACCGGATATACTGTACATATTGTAATTTTATTTAAATAAACAAATGTTAAAACAATGATATCTAAAAGTTAATTATTCTTTCAATTGAGGAAGTCCCAAGGTATCGGTGATACGCACGAATAATTTAATTAAATAATAGTGTTAGTTATTATAATGATTATTTTACGTATTACATTCGGTGGTGAAGATGTGGAGAAACCGATTGATTTTTTAAATAAAAAGTGGCGATAAAAATTTTTTTGCTGGTGAAATTGATGATCGATGAATTGATAATTGAAGATTATCTTCGATACTAGAGTCTCATTCTACGTAGTCGATGTTACACTTGGGTATCTGCAAATCGATAAAAAATGGCACTCGCTCTGTTTGTCTGATGAAACTGACTGTCGAGTCAGATGAATGTCCTGAGACCAACGATCAGGAGAACCATTCCGATATGCGCACAAACAGCTAATGTACTGATAACAGTAGCAGCACTGCTGTTGAAGGAGTAGTAAGGATGATCGTAGGGCTTGTCCCTGACCCACGATCCCCAGGTGTTATTGTACCTGTGAGGATCAGCATTCAGGTCTTGTGGTATATCCGCCTGCATAACGATTTCTCGTTCATACCTCTCGAGGATTGAATTCAACTTCAGAACAATCTGGATAAACAGAACAATCACGAAAGCAACATTATCAGTAATAAGATAAATAAATTGCCATGAAATAAATGATAAAAAATAACCGACCTTTGGATTATGACTGGCGATATTATGGATTTCGCAGGGATCGAAAAATATATCGAAAAGACATTCGGTTTCTCCGACGCAGGGATTTGTTCCATTGATCTTGAAGAGCTCGGTGTTCATGCAGGATAATATTCTCGCTTCCTCTCGTATCTGAGCCATTCTGCTCTGGGGTGTAACGGGATGTCCCACGTGCGAGTGGATAGCCATGACAAAAGCACTCGAGCTGACTAGTGAGTGATTGTAAGGTGGGACATTTCGATTTTTTCCAGAACTGCCGAAATAGTGATGATCGTGCGCCAGTGTGGAGTATCCATGAATGAGTTTGTACCTCTGGTGAATAGCTGCTTCAGTTTTTTTTCTCTCATCGCAGTTGATGAGGAGTGATTCACGTGGTGCCTTGTGGTCTCGACTCAGGTGATTCCACTGATCAATTCCATCAATCTTCCCCAGGTCGCTGATGTCACCACCTGAGGCACTGTAGAGGGTGGGCAGCCAGTCAGTCATGTGCATCAAATTGTTGGAAACTAGTGCTGGTTTATTTATTCTTGGGGACCAGATTGCTGCAACACCACGAACACCTCCCTCATACAGCGTATCTTTTCCCTGTTAATTTCATCTGATATCAGTTCTGTTATTGGGGATTTATGGGATTTAATCGGGGACTTACACCTCGCAGGGGCCAGTTAGACCCAGTATTCGCTTCACCCTCGTTCGTCGGTGCACCAGTGTCTGTCAGGAAGACGATGATGCTGTCAGTCAGCATTCCATGATCACCCAGTGCTGACACGATTCGTCCGATGGATCTATCGATCTCTGATACCATCACTGAAATTTAATTATATCGGTTTTAATCATCGGTTAAATATTTTTAAATAGTTCAATAATTTTTGATAGTCTGGTCTTACTGGCGTATTTACGTCGGTCCCCGTGGAGATAACTGAAATTATTGTATCTGTAGGAATCATGGGGTGGGTCCAAGGGTGGACGGAAGCCCGCGTGATTGATGTGGAGGTAGAGCGGTCTCGTGATGTCGTGGTGGTCAATTATCTTGATAGCTTCATCGGTGAAAACTCTCGTAACATATGTATCGTGAATGTCATAGGCTGGACCCTCTCCCCGTTGAAGATCAAATCCAGTCAAATTCTGAAGGGCAAGAATATTTAATAAAACCAATCCTGGAGTCGAGGTCTCCTCAGAATAATCAGGATTACCCCATCGCGATGATAATAATTATAATTATCAATGTTCCCGTTGTAAAAACCGAGGAACGAGTCGAATCCTCGATAGAGAGGAGTAAATTCACGGATTGGATAACCGAGGTGCCATTTCCCCAGGAGTCTAGTTGCATATCCTCGGTCTCGGAGGTACGATGGAAGAATTCGAATTCCCAGGGGAAGTCCTCTAGGGTCATTGCCTCGGAGATCACCTCCTTGTAATCCTTAAATTCAAATAAAAATCTATAAAGTCTCTTGATTATTTTTTCTTCAGATAAAAAATATTTTTTGAGTTGTTTACCCATTCGTATTGGATACTTCCCGGAGAAGAAGGCGGCCCTGGAAGGTGTACATGATGGGAGGACGTAATGTCTATTCAAAATAATTCCGTTGTACGCCAGAGCGTCGATATTAGGCGTGGGTATTTCATTGGAACCATGAAACCCAACATCGTTCCATCCCTAGAACATCCCGAGACCGATCCATTAAACCAAACGACTCATAATTAATTCCCCCCGATGGAAAATGACTCGAGTCTCAAGTTTCATTGGACTCTGCAGAAGCTCATGCAGTTGTTACATTGTCGGAGTGTTATTTGTTTTTTTTTTCTTCAATTAAATGACTCATTCACGTATCCTCATGCTTTCTCGTGGGCGGTGATAACGTACTCTATGTAGATTGGCTTAACTAAGTCTTGGAACATGCTCTTAACATTCTCCTCCTCACTGCAATTATTATTTATTTTACCAGTAAACATCACAGAATAAGTCCGTCCGGTTATCACAAGTATTTTCATCAATCCTAAATATTTCTTAAATATCCATTACACACATTCATTCAATTAACATTAAATTAAGAAAAATGATTATCCTGGATAATTCATTTTTCCTTTTCTAGCAGAGATTATTAATTTTTATGTCAACATATTGAAGATGAATGAAGATTTTTTTTTAAGAAATATTATTGAGGATTATCTAGTTATTTGTTTATTTATGGATTGGGCAATTTTTTTTGGGGTGATTTTAAAAAATGGTCTCACCATATTATCCACCATGAAGACGATGATGTTGGGTTTGACGAGGAATTGATTTGAGGATGCAGATAGTATTTTCAGGAGTAGCAGAAGACATATCCTCGGTGAATACTCCATTGTTTATAAATAAATAACACACTGGGTTTAATTGGGGTATTCAGATCATGATGAGCACTGGGAACAACTGGAGTGTCTTAAGGTGGTGCACTGGGTTTATATAGGTCCACCCACGAACCCAGAGATTAGGGTCCCCCATTGACTGAAGGACAGACACCAGAGGGACGTGTTTTCATTAATTAATTAATTCGAGAGATTAAATGCGTGAGGAGAACTTCAGTCTTACTCCGTTGGTTCATTCATCGATAACTTTAAGGAGATGATTCAATCGATCGATTCAATTCCCTGATTCCTGTCACCTGGCGATTTATATGAATTAATGAATAATTAATTTATATGGTTATTAATTATTATAAATTATGGGTTAGAATTTTTTGAGGGAGAATTACGGGTTCGCTGGATTTTTCGATGGATTATTTTTTGTTGGCGAAGATGAAATCATCATAAATATCCACTTCGGCGTCTTTAGTCATTCACTTGTTGATCTTATTCACTAGTCCATGTAATTACACCAAGAAAGCCTCTTGCGTCTCCCTGTAAAGGTCATTAAGGTCAAGTAACGTTAAGTAGGGATGCCAATTAGTTTATTCATCATTTCCTCGATCTGCCGAAATAGATTCTTTCATCTTGGAGTGATGCATCTTCAAATTAATGCACGTAATCTAATAATTAAAAATATTACTGACCCACTCTTCTCTATCTCCCTGTGTTTTTTTATATTTCTTCTAAATTAACTTCAATTGATGCTTGAGTGAATCCAAACTGAAAACCATTTCCGGTCTCTGGAATTCATTGTCAATTACAAAAAGTAATTGCACTCATCACTGAAGGAAAATTAATTGGAAATTGCGGGAAACAGGGAAAAATGTGTAATCAACGGAGAGAATTCAAAATGGAGTTTATTCATGTGCAGATGTCGCTTGTGGATTTGAATGCATTTTTCGCGGGGAGTTGCCATAACCTGTCGTCTCTACAATAATAATAAAATAATTTATCTCTGTGATTTGTCACACCGAAATATGGGAGAAGTATCGAATTATCGAGTGCAATGTTCTCAACAAAAAAGAGATTAATCGAGCGAACGGGTTACAACAACGTGGGGAGATACGACTATCTGAAATTACTGTCAACAGAATTCAAAACAACATCATCCACAGGTATTTCGGTGTATCGAGTAAAAATCTAGTGTTTTTTATTTTGCCTGTCGATTTTTTCAGATGGAAAACGTCAAGTTCTTGGAAACCTAGCCAATTTTGCTTACGATCCAGTTAATTACGAGTACATCCGGCTATTGAATATAATTGATCTGTTCTTATGCGTTCTCTCAGACTCTGACAGGATTCTAGTACGATTTTCTATTGGAGGAATATGTAATTTATGCTCTGGTGAGATGAGTTTATTTATCCAACAAACCACTTCATTCTCAGTTTTGCATTAATTTTTATTTTCAGATCCCATAAACAAAGAGTATATTTTACGTAATCGAGGAGTGGCCCTGGTATTCTCATTATTACAATCGCCCGATGAGGAAACTGTCCTGTCAGCAATAACCACGTTAATGTTTTTAATAACAGATGCTTCGAGGAGTGAAATTATAACTCCAGCTGTTATTGGACAATTGGAGATATTCAAAAATTCGACGAATAAGAGAATCCAAAATTTGGCGATAATTTTTTTGAGGGATCATTGCGGCGAGAATTAATTACATTTATTACTCCACGAATTTCGGATCAATCAAAATGATTCAACGAATCAATTTTTCCAGAGGATTGATTAGGGGTTATTTTGCAAGGGGCATTTCTTATCAGACGAGGCAGAATATTAAAATAGGCGCGAAGGCATCTGCTGTGCGATTGATAACAAAAGACGATGTAATTAATTTTTCCAAATTAACTAATGATTATAATCCCATTCATACAGACACTGAAAATCCAATTGTTCATGGAGCTTTATTGAATGGATTTTTATCTGGTGTTTTGGGGACGAAATTGCCAGGACCTGGGACAATTGTTATTCAACAACAATTGTTTTATAAAAATCCCTGCTATGCTGGGGAGACGGTAGAAATAATTGTTGAGGTATTGGAAGTGAGAAGAATAATTAGATGTCGGTATAAACTCGTGGCTAATGGCGAGAGAATTGTCTTGGAGGGCGAAGGAAAATTTATACTGAGTAAAATAGAATAATCATGAATCAATCCAGAATTCAGAACAGATAATGTGACATTAAAATTCGGGTGAAAGTGGGTCTGGGGGATAATGCAGAATTGCACGTTTGAAATTTCATCAATTGTTATTCGTCCAGTTAATTATTACAACATCAGCATTACTCATAAATACAAGAGGATTTTTGAGGCGAGGGCATTCGGTTTTTGTGTCAGTGACGACAAGCTTTTTTTAGCAGATACAGGTACATCAATTTTTATCACATAAAATAAATGTCAGTATTTCTTTAGTGAATTTTTTATTGATAAAAATGAGTTGTTGAATTTTTTTATTGAAGGAAAGAACGTGAAACCAGTCATTAGGATCATCATGCACCTTTCAAAAATAGTTCTGGTGCTCTGCATGTGTGTTGTCTTCAGTTTCGGTCAAAATTCAATCGTTGAAGTCCCACCAGAAGCACCTACTGAGTCCTGGACTGAAGAGGGTACGACGGAAACTCCTTTGGGTTGTGTCTGTGGAGTTTTCTTGAGTGGTCAGTTCAAGAAAGGCAGCAAGGAACAGCCCAAAGGAAATCCTGCACTTCTTCATGAACATACAGAAGCCTTCCCCTGCACACCAGTCGGCAATAAATTGTGTACCAACAAATGTCTCGATGCTGTGAGTAAAATTCAAATAACAAACGGATGAGTCAGAGATTTATCTCAAAAATTGAATTCTCTAGAAAAAATTTATCTGGTGTTTTCACGTGAAATTGATTATTTTCGAGATCTTTTCGAATCCATTATTGAATCCATTTTTTTATTGTTGCTTTGTATTTTTATTTATTGTTATGAGATAATTATTCGATTCAGATCGTGAAACACTTGCCAAACAGTCCAGCCATCCTCTGCGGTTCTATTGATCGTGATTGTCACAAAGAAAGGGTGAGTCAATCCCTCGAATTATGAAGATTTAAATAATTGACCATTTCCCATTTTTCTTCCAGGCCTATCTCTTCATAAAAAATTGTAAAGACGAGTGGATCAATACAAATTTATCAGCAGGTCGAGAATACTGTTGCAAAGACGGTATTCCATACAAATGTCCAATTCTCAGTTAAATCATCCCATCAGCTCGTTTTATTGTCACCAATAAAATGAGTTTAATTATAAATAAAATTCACTGAACCGATTGAAACTGTTATCATTCGAAAATCCCGCCGTCCATCTAAATTTAGATTTATCCCAAATTTTCTCCCCCGAAGAGCTCATGGATTTCCGTCGCGTCTGTAAAATCTAAATTTAGTTCGACGAAAAATCACTGAATTTTCAGTTTTCCATCAGTGACTTGTCAAAAAAAGAAAATCATCACTCCATTAATTTCTCCACATTAAATAATTCCTTCAACTGATTGAAATCGGATGAATTTTTCGTAGTAGTGAATTTTGGAGAGCTCTACGTCTCAGTGAATTAAAAAATTGATAAATCTTGGGAGTAATCAGCCCAGGAGATGACAATAATCACCACAATGTGCACTCAGCTGTTCTCGTGCCCACTGTGCACTCAACCGAGTTTTAATTCCTTAGATTCATTGAGAATAGGTCTGGTGAGTGTAGCCACACGTCCATTGACATGTCCAATATGCAATGACACAGTCTTAGGAATAGATAAATTGACAATTCACCTGTTTGGCCACACTATCCCTGAGAACACGCCCAACGAGCCTCAGATACCCGAAACCAAGACTCAAGAGATTAGGTACCATGTGCCTGATTCCGGAGGTAAATCCAGGAATGTGATGCTCATCCAGACACCACAGAGCCTCGAAAATGACTCTCTCATTCCCAGAGGATTTATCACAAGTCTTCCTCTGGTGTTCAATGGTATCAGAGAAGAACCTACAGCTTCTACCACGAATTCGCCACTTCAACCACACGTTGACCCTGAGATAAATGTCTTGAATTTATTATCAGAGACTCCAGAGGGAAATAATAGTATCGAGGGCATCGTTTCGTCATCAGAATTGACTTTGCACATTCCAGAGAGTTGTAATATTCAGTTCTCCAATCCAGTGGAAGTGAATGATGAAAAAATTTCGAGTGATTCATTAATTATGAAAGAAGAGATAAAGGAGAAGAAATTCGAAAATGAGAAGAGGGAGAGGTGTAATATCTGTGGGTTGAGCCTAGCAAATCGAAATTCTCTCATTTTGCATAAACAACTGGCGCATAAAATTGCAGCTAAGGACTGCAACGTCAAGCCTGAGGATCTCCTGAAGAATTATCCTTGTCATTTGTGTTCTAAAGTATTTAAGATGAGGGGTAGCCTGATGATTCATATGAGGGTGGCACATACTGGAGGTAATTTAGGTAAAGGAGAGTGCGGATTGCTTAACGACTGAATTCGAAAGAAGATCAATAATCATTGATGATTTATCATGATCACGATAACACAGCCTCATTATTTCCAGCGACCCTCGGAGGGGAACGAAATTCAGATGGGGGATTCAATTGTCCGTTGTGTGGGAAGAATTTTAAAAAGGTGAGATTTCGTTTGAAATTTTATTCACTAGATCAATCCTCTTTTCGTATTTTTCCTGTGGATGGGTTCAAACCGAATCATCATATTCGAACCGAATCATCATATTCGAACCGAATAAAGTATCAAGTAAAAATAATAATCCCCCATATTATTGACCGAATAAAAAAATCCAGGAGCAACACGTCACCCAACACTTGAAGACCCACGAGGGCAAGCAGTGGGAGTGCGACGTGTGCAGTAAAATGTTCACGACGAAGTACTTCCTGAAGAAGCACAAAAGACTGCACTCCGGGGAAATGCCGTATCAGTGCAATATCTGTTCCAAGACATTTACATTTCAACAATCGTATCACAAGCACAGGCTGTATCACAAGGATGACAAGCCCCACACCTGTACATCATGTGGTAGATCCTTCAAGGAGCTCTCTACTCTTCACAATCACGAGAGGATTCACACTGGAGAAAAACCATTTGCCTGTGAAACATGTGGTGAGAGGAATTCATCGTCTCAACTGCTCTCATCTGCTTTATTGCTTCCAGCTAACATTAATATTCCTTTAAAATTGTGTCAGTGCCACTTCTGAACTAAACACCAAGCATGGTTTGACATTTGATTCTATGGTAAGTTCCACATGACAGGTATTATTTTAATAATTCACTCGTTTAATTCTCATTTACCAGGAAAATGCTTTCGACAACGTGTGTCTTATCTCGTGCATCGAAGAATTCATACTGGTGTCATGCCTTATACTTGTTCAACCTGTGGGAAGAGTTTCAGATATAAAGTAAGAAATTATTAATTGCCCGAAGACTCCATTAATTTCCTACGAAAAATTGATTATAAAAAATTGTTTCATTTTTTTTTGTTACCTCTAGGTGAGTCAGAGGACCCATAAGTGTCCAGGACAATCAGATCATTCTGAACATTCGCAGGTGGCATCGGGAAATGATCCGATTGAACCCAGGGCTTCTGAATCTCAGGGAAATGCATTGGTCCCTTCTGTGTTGGATAATGCGAATAAATTCGTGGTCATTGCAAACAGCAATGGGGAGCCGACATTAACGAGAGAGATAGACGTGAATCCCTTGTTTCATTTCTCTCAATCCGGGCCAGTGAAAGAAAAGGGAAAAGGGGAATCAGTGCAGTCCTCTCGGGGTGTTCTACCTGAAGAGAATTCTCAGGATTTTTTGGGTTTAGTCATGTCACCAGTGCAGAATGGTCCATCGTCTCCTTCAACTGAAATGCAACAGTTGAGACTGGCCTCCCCAAAGTCCGAAATTAATCAATCGTTTCAGGATTCCTCGGACAATCTCCAGAAGGACTTGAAACACGCAATCGATGGCATTTTGAACGAGCGGAATCGAGAGAATAATTCCTTGGAAACCATCAACGAGGATTCACTGAAGGAATTGCTTTATGGAATTAATAAAACACTTTAAAATAGAATAATGATTATATAAAATAATAGTTTTGTAGATTCTCTTCATTTCTATTGTTGAAAACATTTTTTTTTCATTCGTGTTTGAGAAAAATATATATATTCGTTCTAGAAAAATGAATTCCTGAGGAATTTATAATTTCTGGAAGTTTCTTGGAATTTTGGGACATTCAATTTGAAATTTCTGGTGCAACTCCATCTGTGAAAAATTCCCTGAAACTCTGAAATTATCACTGGAGCAATAAATAAGTACCCCCACCCCTGAAAATTATTGGAAACACGACGGTGCCTGTATAAACCTCCCAAAGCGTGTAGATCGCACCTAGAACGTGTACCACGAATTTCTAGTTCTCAAACAGCAGCTGTTTAGTCTCTCAACCTCTCCACACTGGTAAGTGAAATAAAGATCGATTCCAAGTGCATAAAAAAAAATGAGCATCGTCATATAAAAATTTGGCCTCCCCCACTGACAAAATGACAATTTAATTGTTTGGTAATAGTTAAGTCTGCAGAGGCCGATGGGAGTCAAGGCTAACGAGCTCAAGTTGACAGTTCGTTTTTGCTGATATTTTCACACGTGTCCTCTTGGTAAAACGCATTGCTCACGTTGCGTAACTGGAGAGTTCGACTTCCAGAGGAAGGAGCTCATCGTTTTTTTTTCTGGTGGGTATTCAATTATTTTTTGGTTATAAAATGCGACTCGAACGAGAGGTGATAACTACGTATTTATCATCGATTCGAGAAGGAGAGTGAGAGGAGAGAGAATAACGAGATGATACGTTTTATTCTACGCATTTGCTCGAGGGGGAGGGACAGACCCATGGATTTCTGGAAATAGTCGATTCTCCATTTTATTTCAAGTCTCAGGTATTGGTTTATTGGTTGTTTATTGCACCAACAATTGTGCATTCTGGGAATACAATGAGGAGAACAATTGGGTAAGACCTGCTGAGCCCTTGGATCACTCGTCCTCCCCCCCAGGGTCGCCAGTATGTCGAGACCTGGCTTTAACACAAAAGGGTCTCGACTGAACAGCTGGTTAGGAATCAATGTTGCCAGATCTTTGGGAATCCCGTAGGTATCATATTTTAATTCTCTCTCTCTAAATGCTATTTAATGATTTTCTAAGATATATTTCAAATTCTGGGATTAACTATTCAATTTTTCAATGTAAAATTGCAAAAGATAAGGATTTAAGTGTCAAGTGAACGAGTGGAATCAGTCCAGTTTCACTGTAACTTAAATATCGATCAATTTCGAAAAGTATTGATTCCCGGAAAAAATGTCAGAGGAATATTTTCTTGGAAATTTAATGAGCTATAAAAAAGGCCTCTAACGTTTTCCTGTTAAATCGATATTTTCCGAGATTAAGCAGGATTTACCTAAATGTCACATTACAACTCGGGGAGTGATTTTCTTACAAATTATTTATTTAAAAATGAATTTTTCCTGATGAATAATGTCATTACCCGCATCATACCGTCCTCTAGATATTTTTTTTTCAATTTCAAATCCCGTCCCCTTCTCCCTGAAATATTTTGGATGTGTCAGTGACATCGTATGCACACACACTGCATTTTGCGAAGGCTAGCTAGAACTTGAAGAGTCCCTGCACCTGCGCGTTCGCAATCTTTAGGTAATGCAACCAAGGGAATCCTCTCACTCGGTTATTCGCACACAATCCATTTCACGAGAAGCGAAATAGTGAATACCAAAATCATCCCTCGCGAAAAAAAATAACCCATCATCCCCAAAAGTCCCAATAAATCTCCAATTATCCCCAGAGGATCCCCCAAAAATCAAGGATGATGAAAAAGATAATTCAGTGACCTCGAGACATCACAGCAGTTGCAGAATTTAATAGTGTGTGTTGAGTGAAGGCAATCGAGTGCAAAAAAATTCAAATCCCCCAAAAATACCCCCAACCCCCAATTTTTCATTGAATTTTAATAATCTCCATTCGATTGACGGTCAATTAAATAATCCTCCCTCCAGGGAATAATAAATTAAATAGAATCTCATATTTTTCTTTCATAAACACGAGTCCAATTAGATAAAAATCAATTGTTAGATAAGAAATTGAGAAAAATATTATGATTCTGATATCGCGGTGACGGTTTGTCGGTATAAGTGGAATTGAATAATAATCTTATAATTTATAATAATTTATCATGAAAAATAATGGAGAATGTGAGGAAAATGGTGTGAAAATATTTTCAAAAATTGGTGAAAATTCTATCCAATTAAATGCCACCTCCTGAGTGAATTTAACTCTGGGTTCGAGTGGGCGGAGCTGTCTGTCTCCCTCCACGAGGTTCTAACCAACCTGGGAGATTGGTTGATTCGACTGTTCAATTCAGTTCTGCTGAGTTCTCCATTCTGTGCACTCCAGTGCAATTATCATCAGATTCATTACCCTCTCCTCCCTTCCCCCATTTCATTGTGTACATCAGTTAGTCACACGTTGAGCATTATCAGACATATCAGTATCATTTTTGTTCTCTATTATTTTCTCTCTCCCCCCACATCACCATGAAAATACAGTGATAAAATTTATGAGTGTATGGATCCCCTCCCCCAGGAGTAACACGGCGTCGTGCGTTGTACTTGATATACAATAATATTCATGAGTTTTTTCGTGATCCTGGGATATGTATCGAGCATGCTCCTTCAAGATTCAGGTAATATTTCCCTTTAATACATCAGGTTTTTAAATATCATCTGGCCTTTACCCTGGATGTCATCACCAGGGAGGGGATTTTTTTTTTTTTATTTGGTTATTCTCAACGGGCATCACTGGCGACACACAAGTATATTCGAGGTAGTGGGAAAAGACTAAACTTGTCCTCCATTACTTTCCCAGAGACCAAGCAAATGGTGGCTTCAGACTCACCAAGAGTCTTTGTTGTTCACCTACGTTATCTCTGGGTTATTTTTATAAATAATTTGTTTGTTTGTTTGTTCAGGGACATCTTCGGGTTCATGTCGATTGTCTGAGTGGTTATAATCATGGATTTTTGGTGGGTTTCGTATCCTTGAGGTGATTCTTTTCGTTTATTTCTCGTGGGCTCAGGATTATTTATGTTTTTTTTTTCCTTTTATGTGGAAGACAAACAGGAGAGGCAAGTGCGCATTATGAGGAGTCCAAGGCTTGGGGGGGAATTTCAAGGGTTTACTCTCGGTTTTTCGCGATTTTTTCGAGTGATGTGATGATATTTTTGGGGGATATTGAATCATATGTCATGGACGGATTTTGGTGATAATAATTCGTGATTATTCTTTGGGAAATGTGAGGTGATGTCGATGATTTTTCATTGAGATTGAAAATGGCATGATTTTTTATGACAATTTTTTCATTGACCTGTGATAATTCATTGCAAAATGATAAGTTAGTGGCAATGAATAATTAATCATCAGTTAATTATTACAAATAGTTTCTAATGAGAAATTGATATTCATTTATGGAAAACTAATAATTTTTATTCCTGAATAATTGTGTGGATTTTATTGAAAGGTAAATTTTGGGGTGAGTTTAAAAAAAAGATGATAATTTTGTTATTTATTTTTATTTGCAGACAGAATAGTGGCATGCGTCGATTAATCTATGGCAGATCAACAAGATCAGTCGTCGCTCGGGGGGTCTGTAGAGAAGGCCAGTGCTTCAGCAGACGCCTCTAAATTACGGGGGAAGAGCAGTGGTACCAGTGGTTACAGAAAACGACAGAGTACACCAACAGTTGTTGCAACATTGGCGGAAAAACGTCGGAGACAAACTGAGCCACAATATTCATCCGTTTGTAGTGTACCCAATACACACAGACGTTCGGTTGATTCGAGGGGCGAGGGTAAAAATAAGGGTGAGAGAAAGGGTCATGGAAGCAGCCTAGGATCTTCCACTGGTGAGTTTATTTTATATCTCGTTATTCATTTGGAGTTATCAAAAACTGTTATGCAAGAGGAGAATTAGAGTTACTTTCACTCAAACTACAGTTTTTTAAAATATATTTATGGTCGAGGCCTGTGAATATTCCCAGTTTCGAGTAATTGGAAATTGTTGAGTTCAAATGAAAATTGAATTACTGGAGTGAAGAGCAAATAGAGTTGTCACCTTTAGCACTTCACTACTGAATTGTTATCTGTGAAATAATCGTTATCGTCTATTATGAATGATGAAATGAATGATATGATAAAAAAAAATCTCACAATTTCAAAGTATTTCTGATGTAAAAATTAACGTGATTTTTTTTTTTCAACAAATTCAAGATATTGATTGGAGAGCACAGCCAAAGGGACAGCATTCCACGAGTGGTACAAGTGCAACGCGAAAGAATTCAACAAAACACAGCCAAGCCGAACACAATCCTGCCCCAATAGATTGCGTAGCATCGCGCACTCGTTCACGTACACCCCAGAATCCACAAAGTGTTCAAGGAAGCAGTAGTTCATACGATCAAACAATCTACACAAGTAGAAAATTATCGTCTGGATATAACAATTTGTTGTCCCTTGGTGGTACATCAGTGAGTAATTATCCGACGACATCTCGAGGTCGTGGATTAAAATTTTCAAGTGGTGGTGCAGGGCAGACAAACGGTGGTACGAGTAGTCAGGTATTGGGTGTTAAGTCAAGCATCAGAGTGGGTAACGCAGCTAGTAACTCTGTGGAGAGCGGTGGGGGGGCGTTGGCACATGACGGGGCAGGGACAAGTGGTGTAACATCTACGTCCACTGTCAACCCCTCTGTGTCTGCCTCCACCAACCCAAACCACCATCATCCCACTCACAAGCATCTATTGCGTTCCCGTGTTAAATTATCATCAGATCAGCCCAAAGAATTGACATCAAAAGTTATATCCAAGCACAAAAAAGATCCATCATCTTGTACGAGTTCACGTCATCGTTCGTCATCACGTGCACGTAAATCCTGTGACAATCCCACCTCAAGTGGAGGTGGTCTCATGTCAGGATCTGATACAACACCATCAGCTTTACCAACGACAACACCAGCCCCAGCACAGCAAGGAGTTGCACCTGGTGACGAGGAAACAGCACCAGCTACAGCAGCAGCTGCCAGTGGTGGTCCATCTGGAATGTCTGGAACAACTGGTGACAGTGAGAGTGATGATGGAGAAGTTGGTAGACTCCAGGCACTGCTTGAGGCACGTGGATTACCACCACATGTTTTTGGTGCACTTGGACCAAGGATGCAGCATCTTTTGAATCGAAGTATGGGGGCAAGCTCAGCTGCCAAGGCACAGCAGTTACTTGCTGGTCTTCAAGCTGTGGATGATGAGGGGGAACAGTTGCAGGCTGTCATTGGAATGGGAGAGATACTAGTTATGGGTAATGAGGATACATTAACTGGTTTTCCAGTGAAACAGGTAGTTGCTGCATTGATCAATCTCCTGGGTATTGAGCACAATTTTGTCATCATGACACATGCCTGTCGTGCACTGACTTACATGATGGAAGCACTTCCTCGATCATCGACAGTTGTTGTTGATGCTGTTCCAGTATTTCTCCAGAAACTTGAATCAATCGAGTGCATGGACGTGGCTGAACAGTGTTTAACCGCACTTGCCATGCTCTCGAGGAGACACAGCAAGACCATTCTTCATGCTGGTGGTGTATCAGCCTGCCTTAAATTCGTTGATTTCTTCAATATAACAGCTCAACGCGCTGCCCTTACGATAACAGCAAATTGCTGTCAAAATCTTCATCCCGATGACTTTCATCTTGTCGTTGAGAGTCTACCATTACTCACCAGTCGACTCACTAATCAGGATAAAAAAAGTGTTGAATGCGTTTGTCAGGCATTCAGCAGACTTGTTGATAGCTTTCAACACGATCCAGTGATGCTGCACAAAATAATAACAGCTGAATTACTCCAGAATTTACAGCAACTCCTGATGATAACACCACCAGTCAATAGCATTGGCAATTTTATAACTGTATTACGAATGCTCTCTGTGATATCGAATCGTTGTCCTGACCTCGCCCAACTGCTCCTGCAGCAGAATATCGCTTTTACATTGAGTTATCTACTGACTGGATCTCTCGAGGTTAAAACTGAGGATGTGGATCTTGTGCCAAGATCACCTCAGGAGTGGTTCGAGATCACTTGTCTAATTGAGGAGCTCATGCCACCTCTACCCACTGATGGAATATTCAGTGTCAATAGTCTCCTGGAGAGGACAAATAATCAACAGGAGACTGTACACTGGGAGTGGAGGGATGAGCGACACTGTTGTCATCCATTCAGCACTATTGACTCAAGAATAATTGAAATGGCTTTTCAAAATGGCGAGGACGAGATATGTCTCTCTACACTTGGTAGAACATACACTATTGATCTTACAATGATGAAGCAGATCAATGAGGACATTGGAATGGCAAGGAGTATATTCAGGAGGGTTATGACTGATACTGCTGAGGGAAAGAGTCCAACTTGCTCCGGGAGTATGGATGTCGTACCACCTGTTATCGAGACCAATGAGTGGCTTGTTTCATTTATTAGAACTCTTTTCTCAGTGTTGTATGAGGTTTACAGTAGTTCAGCTGGGCCTGCTGTTAAGCACAAGTGTCTTCGGGCTCTACTCAGAATGGTATATTATGCATCCACTGATTTGTTGAAGGATGTATTGAAAAATCAAGTTGTATCGTCACACATCGCTGGTATGCTTGCCTCTCAGGATTTGAGAATAGTCATTGGTGCACTCCAAATGGCTAGTATTCTCATGAAACGTCTGCCACAAGTATTTGGAGTACATTTTCACAGAGAGGGAGTACTTCATCAAGTCAGACAATTGGCTGATCCCGAGGTACCTCTTGGTGTATCACCACCTAAGTGCACTTCTGGCACATCATTGCCAAGTCCCCAACCTGGTCCATCCAATACACCGTTGTCATCGACGATGACGTTGTCTTCTAGCAGTGCCACGTCTCCTGTTGCCTCGCCAACGACCAATGGAAATATTTTATTTGGCTCAATTGCTACTAGTCAATTGAGACCTAGTCTTACTGCTACTATGGAGACCAGAAGCCGAACTGATTTGAGCTCATCCGTTGAAGATTCAGCGACTACACCACAAAGTGCCCACTTAAGAATTGGAGAAGTCCTAAAACGCAAACGTACAAGCAAAAAAGGAAGGCTCTCTCGTCTTGGAAGTGCAACGACACCCCAGCAATCACCCCAGGCCGAATCACTCTTCACAGGATTTGCCCAGAAGAACAATCGATTCCTGGGTAATCTCAATCCAGCACGTTGGGGTAGAAAATCATCAGCATCGTCTGCATCGAGTGATAAAAGAGATTCAACATCATCGACGAGCCTGACAAAGCCACCAAGCAATCCCAGTCTCACCGGTGGTAATCGTGATAAAGCAAAAACTTGGGTTCGAGAACAGGCGGGACAATTTTTATCTCGGTATCAGGATGATGCCCCATGTACACACCCAGCCCTCACAGTTCTCTCTCGTTTAACCTCAGCAATTCAGCGTTTGCAATCGAATGAACTCGATGAAATGCTATCTGCCCTGACAGAGCTACGTGATATCGTACTGGAGAGTGACATTTCACCATTCGAAATGAACTACAGTGGCTTAATAAAGGCCCTCTTGAATCACCTGACGACAACAGATGCCCCAGGAAATCGTTACGATCGTCTCAGAATGTTCTGGAAGCTCTTCGCTGAGTCCACGCTTCAACAGGACACAAATACTGACAATCCCATTGATTTTAATCCCGGAGCATTTGGTGCTCTCGTCAATAAATTAAATAGTTGTGTAGCACAGTTGGAACAATTTCCCGTTAAAGTCCATGATTTACCAGCGGGCTCTGGTGCTGGACGAGGTGGAACTAGTGCATTAAAATTCTTCAATACCCACCAATTAAAATGCAATCTCCAACGACACCCAGACTGCAATAATCTCAAACAGTGGAAAGGTGGTACTGTTAAAATTGATCCACTGGCACTGGTTCAAGCGATCGAGCGTTATTTGATGGTGAGAGGTTATGGTAGAATCAGGGATGCTGAGTCAATGGTCAGTGATGATGACAACAGTGAGGATGACATCGATGACACTCTGGCTGCTGTTGTCATATCGCAAGGATCGAAACACAAGCTCCAGTTTCTCATTGGTGATGAAGTTTTGCCGTTCAATATGACTGTTTATCAGGCAGTCAGGCAGTTCAGTTGTGCTGGTATCGATCATTCTGAGGCTGAGACTGATACTGAACCACCACTGGGTCATGATGCTGTCTGGGTGCAGACACACACAATTTATTATAGGCCAGTGCCAGAGGAGGAGACAACAAATTCACCTAAGCCTGGATCAAGCTCTCAGAGTACGTCGAGTAGAAAGGGCAAGGGTAAATCAACGAAGATAAGTTCAAAACGCAAAGAGGATAGTCTGTGGCTGGAGGGAGCTGTACCACCACCAAGATGTCCACTGGCTCCTTATCTGTCCCCAGTTCTGCCATCAGTGACAATAAGTGACGCATCATTGGATGGATTGTGTCTACTCAGATTGCTTCATTCCTTGAACAGACACTGGGGGGTTCTCTTTCCACATTTGAAGAGTGCATCTCTTCTCTCATCTCAGGATTTCATCAACAATAAAATTGCAGCAAAGGCCAATCGACAGCTGCAGGATCCTCTCGTCATCATGACTGGAAATTTACCATCCTGGCTGCAACAGATTGCCTCTGTCTGCCCTTTCTTATTTCCCTTTGAGACACGTCAGCTGCTGCTTTATGCCACATCATTTGATCGTGATAGAGCATTACAGAGACTTCTGGATTCAGCTCCAGAGCTGTCCGGCTCTGACTCACAGGAGCGTGTCACTCCAAGACTGGAGAGGAGAAAACGAACGATATCGAGGACTGATATCTTCAAACAGGCTGAACAAGTTATTCAGGATCTTGCGTCGAGCAAGGCTCTTCTTGAGGTGCAATATATCAATGAAGTTGGAACTGGTTTGGGACCGACTCTTGAATTTTACGCTCTGGTATCGAGGGAGTTTCAGAGGGCTGAGCTGGATATGTGGCATGGGGGTACCAATGACTCGAATTACATTCACTCAAATCAGGGTTTATTCACGAAACCAGCGCCCTGGAATACGAAGGTTCCAGCTCTTGCTAAATTAAAAACGAGATTCAAGTTCCTAGGAAAATTCATGGCGAAGGCTATTTATGACTCCAGAATGCTCGATCTACCCTTCAGTCTCACCTTTTATAGGTGGTTGTTGGGGGAGGAACACACATTGACACTTGCTGATCTGGCGCACATCTGTCCAGATGTCTACAGAACGCTGAGTAAATTGCAGGATGTCATCAGGAGGAAAGAGGCTATCGAAAGGGATCAGACACTCAGGTCTAACGAGAAGGCACAACTCGTTGAGATGTTGGATCTTGATAATTGTCCTATTGCTGATTTGGGACTTGTCTTTGAGCTGCCAGGGTATGGAAATGTTGAACTGAGAAAAGGGGGAAGTGAGATACCTGTGACTATTCACAATCTTGATCAGTATATCAAGCTCGTTGTTCACTGGTTCCTGTATGAGGGAGTTTTCAGGCAAATGGATGCCTTCAGGGAAGGTTTCGAGTCGGTATTTCCACCTGCACAGTTGAGACTCTTTTTCCCGGAGGAATTGGAAGCTGTATTTTGTGGGCATCATCAAAGTGGGGGACAGTGGGATGTTAAAACTCTGCTGGAGTGCTGCAGGACTGATCATGGATACACACCTGATTCCAGGGCTATCAGGTTTTTATTTGAAGTGATGGCGGAGTACAATAGTGAGGAGCAGAGACAATTCATTCAGTTTGTTACTGGATCGCCAAGGCTACCTGTTGGAGGTCAGTGAATTTTTTATTCTCAATTTGTGAGAATTGAAATGATCGTTCACCTAAATTCGGAGATTATGAATTAATTGGGTTTTTTTTATAATTGCAGGATTCAAGAGTCTGACGCCACCCCTCACGATAGTTCGAAAGACATTCGATCCATCAATGAAGACCGATGATTTTCTGCCCTCCGTCATGACATGTGTCAACTATCTCAAACTCCCCGACTACACAACCCTCGATATAATGCGCGAAAAATTACGAATTGCTGCACAGGAGGGACAGCACTCGTTCCACCTCTCCTAGAAATGGATCCCAAGTCATTTATTATTACTATTATATTTTTTTTTCATGTGTTATGTCGTTCATCTCTCGAAAGATCCATCTCCAATCTAAATATCTCAAGAAAGAATTTTTCAAAGAAACAAGTGGAGAAACGCCCCATCTCAAGCTAAAAAAAAAAATATCTTCATTCTCACTTTCAGACTCAATCAATTAGAAAGTGCATTAATCATTTTGATAAATTTTAGATTCTGTGCCCCTGTCGATCTACAATAATAATTTTCATAATCCCAAAAATCTTCTCAGTTTATTAACTTAAATGAAAGACCTCCGGAATCAAAAGGTCTTCGTTGAAATGACGATGAAGAAATATTCAAAAAAGAAAAAAAATGAAAGATAACAAACAAAACAATGAAGAAAAAAAAAAACACGTAATAAGTTGTAAATATCTTAGTTATCTCAACATAGTTTGATATACGCAGGTTCATAACATATAAATAACTTTATCATACCGCTACGAGGCACTGATTACTAACGGAATTATGCATTAGAAATCAAGAGGACGATTACTAAAGTGTAAATGGTGTTCTTTTTTTTTTTAATCAGTGGTGTATCATGACTCAATGTACATCGCCAAAATTAAATAACCACGTGCTCCACGAGGACTCGGAGAGTGTGAACTAAAGATTATTATTGAAAAAAAAAGAAGAAGAAAAAAACAATGTAAAAGTGGTTGAATCGAGATGGATGGTTGCATTGTTTCATAAGTAGTGAGAGTATCACGGAGTCTAAATGATTCATGACATTCGTATTTCTCTTGTTCGTTGTGTTGTAATCGATCTCTTGTTTGTTCTTGCTGGTCAATTGGGGGGAACATTTTCGGAGTTTTCACGTTCACCCACTGTGACATGCGACAAACTATATTTAATTTCATCGATCTACCATTATAAAGATAATTTTTAGGTGAATTAGTCAAATTTATTACTTTATTTAGTCGTGTAAGGATATAGTTTACATCGTCAGACCATTTTAGATACTTGGGGCTCATGGAGATGATTTTTTATTCACTGGGGTTGAGCGAGATGTTCAGGGAGACAAGTACGGGGTTTATTGATTGGATTTATTCCAATTGGATGGTCTGACGGTGGACTGACTGTGTTTGTTACATCTGGCTATGTTAAAATGTGTTATCCTGTAGCCTTTTGATAAAGTCCACTTGGCAACGGGGCGTGATTTGAAAATCTTGAATATTAATATGAACAGTAAAAAAAAATGGCTAAATTGATTATATTTATATCATTTGAGTAGCATAAAACGTTTTGATTTCACTTGAATTTTTGAATATTTTCTGTTTCCTTTGAGATCCTTGAATAAAACACCAACTGTAAGGAATTTATTTCAGAATATTGTGTAAATAACCTTTGTATCTTTATTATCCTCGGTGATATTATTATAAACTACCGGGAGTGTCTAGTACGGAAAATATCATCAGGGGAGTGGAACTTCACTCTTCTTCGTGTTCTTGAGGAATTCAATTTTCTATTGAGAGGCCTCTCGATGGAAAAATCACTGATAAGCGAGGGGAATTTTTCTCCATCAATTCTCACCCGAATACTTTTTTTGTTCTCTTAATTTATTTATATGCACATGGTGAGCCATCCTAGAATAAAGCAAGTACCTCCAAACGGAGTGATTTTGCTGAAGCGTTTGTCACCTGTAAATGCGTAATAGTAACAACTCCCACAGAACATCAGAGATCCTGACATCCACAGGGCAGCAGTCTGGAAGAGATATTTCTACTCAATATAAAGATAAATAATAATTTTTAATGGAATCATGTGCCTGAATACTGACCAGAATTGGTGCCCTGCACATAACCAGCCCCACCATAGCCAGGGAATGATAAAAATGATATCTATTCGCTGTCTCAAACACTTGCTTCAATTGATCATCCTTATATTTCCCTAAAAAAAAAATAAATAATTATTAATCAGGAATATATGGACCCGATGACTGAAAAAATAGAAAAATCCACACTGTGAGCTCCATATGCCCCGAGGATGACTGCAGTTGCTCCACTGAGTCCTGCCAATTTCAAATAAGGCCCTGAGGCTGCTGCCAATTTCCACAGAGGCTCAGGTGGAACCATTTTGTACTCAACACGGGGCTTGAGGCCTGAATAATTGATAACCTAAAAAATTTATAAATATTCATTCCTCATGTAATTAACAAATGTCAAAAAAAAACAATTTTGATTGCTGTATGCCATCTACATGACCTCAAAGTTTCAAAAATAGAATAAACTATAGAAACATTACCCAGTCTCCAAAAATCAGGCAATAACAATAAATAAATTGATTCCTCTTATTTTTTATTATAAAATAACAGCGACTTACAGCTGATGCAGCAGTTTTCGCAAACGAACCGGCACCCGAGCTGACGGGATTAGAAAACAGAACGTAATTCAATGTATCTGATACTCCCATACCCGTTTCAGAGATCCAATCGAAGTGTTTTTGATGGTCAAGACCAAAATCCACACACTCAATTCTCTTCAATCAATTATTTTTCATTGACTATTGGATTTTACGTGATTGCACTGTTTTTTTAGAGAGAATTATTTATTAGGTTAAGAATTTTCGCAATTATCTTATCACGTTAAATTGAGACTGCCCGCGGTGTTCGGTGCGCATGCGCGGAGTATTGTCTGGCGACCCCCACTCGAGCGCTGCCTCCAACGCCACGCCATCTTGAGAAGGAGTCAGTCGTTCGGTGGCAGTGCGAGGAACCGTTGGTGCCGTGTCGCGTAGTGAAAATTCGTTAACATCGGGGTCTTAATGACTGCAGAAAACCGGCGCCGGCTGCTAACATTGATAATACAAAGTGCGGGACTCAGTGCAAGTGATTTTGTGATGTGAAATAATTTTTTAAACCGTTTATAAAGCATTTTTAGTGATTGAGATTTTTCCTTTGTTACACTGAACTTCGGTATTGCCGCACGGCCGCCCGGCGTCGTTGTGTTTACAAAAATTCCTTTGTCCGTTTCTCGGAATTGTTCAGTGTGTGTTTAGATACGACTGAAGTGAGAGTGCGAATTAGATTCGAAGGATTACTTTTCTTATTCATCTTATTTTGGATGTAAAATATTATTTGATCTTTCATATTATTTTATTGATCTTTGTGGATTTTGAGTTGATAAAACATTCTTGGTTGCGTGGTGAGTGATTAGTGAACTTTTGAACTGTCACGAGTGCTGGTGCTTCCAAGCCGACTTCAACCTTTGGTGTCAGAATCACAGTGAGATCTTCAGGATTGGAGGGAATCTTGCAACCGACTGCAAGGTGAGTTTCGTATGCATTTTTTTATGACCTTGAAGCATCATTTTCATTTTATTTTCATGTCATTTTTTTAATTCCTGATTCTTGACATATTCAATGCTTACATTACAAACAATTTTCAATTATTCAATTAACTCTCCAATAAAATAAAAAAATTTTAAATAAAAAATAATAAATAATTTTAAATAATAATTCAAAATAAAAACTCTCAAATGAAAATTAAAAATCGCTTTTGCAGTAAAAAAATTATTTTGTCGGAATTTTATTAACAATTTGTTTTTTTTTATGTTTACAGTTAAGGTAGGTCGTTCGAAAGGTGAAAATTGAAAGCGGACTTATTTTCATCCAACGCCGGTGAGTGATATTTATTTATTAATATATCGTATCCGTTACGTGGATTTTTTCGTGGTCGGTTCGGGGGTTTGAATTTCTCGAGATGATTTTATCTCTCGATCAGATGATGTCGAGATGCCAGTAGATATGGCTCCATCAGATAAATCGGGAGTGCGTGTATAACCAAGTGATTGAATGCACTGGTGTGTCGCATTTTGAAATTGGAATTAAATTTACGTCGTATTTTATATCTCCACCCAAAATGGTAAGTACGATATTAAATTATTGAAGTAAATAAAGTAAACATCACTGACAAGTTTGTGAATATATTTTTAATAGCTGTCAATTTGTTGAAACACAAATAATCCTTGATAACAGTAGGTTAACCTCAAATAATTGTTATGATGCAATCAAGAAGTAAAATCTTGTAAAATAGTGGCATGGAAAAGGGATAATTAATTAGAATCAATCGAGATTGATGATTTGTAATTATTTTAGGCGAGTACAGCTATTGTTGCTGGTGTTGGTATTGCTATTGTGGGATTTGGAGGGCGTTACATTATTAGATCAATGCCGACACTCTCAAAGAAAATGTCTGAAGCCCTCAAATCACTCCCTAAACTCGACTCGCAGGTTTGAACAATTCAGTATTTATAAATAATATGAAATTAAAATCATTCAACGTAAAATTCATTCGCATCCTCCACTCATGGAAATTGGGTTGACAGACCGTCAAAAATTATTAGAAATATTTATTTTTCCTTGAGAAAATTTCATGCTGGAATTTGAGAGAATGGATCGACCCGATTTGCACGAGTGGTTAATTGAAAATAAAAAATTCTTTTGATTTTTCAGTCACTGGCTAATAGTAAATACTACAAAGGTGGATTTGAGCCGACAATGACGAAAAGGGAAGCTAGTTTGATACTCGGTGTCTCTCCCACAGCCAACAAGGCAAAAGTTAAAGAGCAATTCAAAAAAGTCATGTCTGCTAATCATCCTGACAGAGGAGGATCACCGTACATAGCTGCTAAAGTAAACGAGGCTAAAGATTTACTGGAAAAGTAATTACATTCGATTTTATCTGTACATAATTTAAAAAAACAACTGACATGTAAATAATTGACGTGAATACACAGCAAAACAAGTTATTTTTCGATATAAAATTATTATAAAATGTTTATCCGTAGGAAATAAATTGAAGCACCGTATTAATTGGTGATAAAATCTCCACTGATTAGTCATTCCAATGTTACAATCATCGATCCAGCGATATATTATTTTCAATAGAGAGTCAATTAATACTTTTTATTTAACCTAACGAGCATTAATTTTAAATTATTGAATGATATATCGTTATGGACAGAATAATTTTTCGTTCTCTTTATGGTTTTGTTTTAATATAAAATTCGTTATTGGTTTTTCGATAGAATTGAATATTTTGTTGCAAACGTGACTAGACCGTAAATTTATAAATTCAATTTCAATATTTGAGTTAATACTACCGCTCCAGGTTCGGTTTATTTTTTAATTCTCGATCTTGTGACACTTTATTTCGTAATTTCATAATGGTACTTTTGGGTAATGATCCGGGCACCTTAAAAATACTCTGAAAAAAATAGAATAATTTGAGATTATTTACTAATTTGATAGTTATGTGGTTAACTGATATTTCAAATATAAAATTCGATTTATCTCGTTTTGGTTACTGAATTACCTGCATGAACTCGTGACACTGCAATACTATACTGTCTTTCGTAATGTCTTTGAAACAATCGGCTAGTAATGAAAAATCCTGGCATGACAATAAATTGTTTTTGTTTCGTTTGATGAGAGTGAGAGCTACGCGGAATATTATTTTACTGCCCTCGTAGAAAAGGCAGTCCCATATTCTCAGTGTTGTCTGGATGAAAAAAATAATTATACCAATTAATTATTATTAATTGATTATTTCAATTGATGTCGATGGATGTGAATGTTTTACCTCGATGGGGAGCACTTCAGCGAATAAACATATAAACCATTTCGTTGTTATGACAGCCCAGGGCAGTCCTAAATTAGTAACATGATTATAGACATCTGGAATTTTTAATTTAACCAATTCAGCGAGTACATCGATGTCTGTGAGCAATCCGTCCATTGTCGGGGTATAATAATCCGGCAATATTTTCTCGATTAATACTTTGAGCAGCCAAAAGGCAGTCTCTTCGTTTTTCGTTACGAGCAATAACAATCCTGCTATGTAATTCAGTCCCTGCAATCAGAGATAAAAAATTAAATTTTTTTTTGAGACTGAAAAATATTCTCTTGTCAATTTAAAATGGGAAAATTTCCACAAGGAGTAGTAATTCAAAAAAAATAATCAACTTTTGGAGAGAGTAATAGAATAATTTGAATGGGTGAACATTTTCTTGGGACAAGAGAATTTTTTTCAGTTGAAAGACATTTTTTATTCTGGATGTAAAGCGAGATAAGTCGAATAGAATAGAGTAGATATTGAATAACTATTAGAAATAATTAGTAGTAGTGGCGATAATTAAATTAGCAGTTGGAATTGATGTAAATGAACTCACTTGACAGTAGCCAACGGTTTTATTCTCGTGGGCAAATGCCAGTAAAATATTATAGAGCTGATTCTGATGATTAACAGTATGGTTGAAGAATATATTATCTGGAAATGTACGAGGGAGATCTGTTCTGATTATTTCCTTAATCTCACTGTTGTGGGGTCCATTGAGTAGTTTTTGGTAGAGATCAGGATTAGCATTTCGTAGGTCTTCACCTCCACTCACGGAGAGCCATACCTGTTTTAAATCAATTATCGTGATTAATTTCAGTTGAGAAATTATTTTGGTAATTGAATGGTTGAATTTATTCGTCGATTACCATTCCCCTGTGCTCCCCTGGAATGCCTTTGCGAACATATCTTTTTATTGTTATACTTCGCTCTAGGGATTTTCCTTCACCGAATATCTCAGACCATTTTTTTGCTCGTTTAGCTAGAACTTTTAGGTACTCAGACATAAATTCCTCGTAATTTCTGTAGTCGAAATCCGCTGGTCTCTCGAATCCATACTCGTCAACATTACTGTAACAATTTAATTGATAAATATTTTTTTTCATTTGGAGATATTGATGAAAAAAATTTTCACTATTTTTCATCCACTTCATCAATCAATAAATCGATTCTCAATTCAAACAATTGTTACACAATTAAATCTCCCGATAATGGAAATAATTGACTATTTTATGACATCTCGAGGTACTTGTCATACCAAACATAACCTGAGGTATCAAAAATTGAAATCACTAGTAATTGAAATGAAAAAATGATAATTTTGCGGATGATTTTTTTATTTTAAAGAAAAGGTGGATATTCTCACCTGAAATATGAACTGGCCATTCCTTGAGTGACAGGTGCGATTTCATTGGAACTGTAGAGTTCAGTCGATTGTTTTTAATTTTTTTAACGAATGCGGTAAATGAAATTTTTTTTTTTTTTTTACCTGCAACATAAACTGGTCATGTCCTCAGTGGGAGGTGCGGTGTAATTGGAATAGAATCATTCAACAATCTATGAATCACGTTTCACGAATCTAGTCATTGGGCGTTACGCGAGGGGAGGGGAACGAACCACTGACAGATGTAAAAATAGATATATCGATCGGTACTGGAGAAATTTTCGAAATCAGCTGTTGATAATTTTACATGAAAATATGAAAAAAAAAAAATCTTCACTATTTATTCGTCACACCAACTTGATTCGAGTAATCATATTTTTTTTATCCTCTGGCAGGTATTTATACTCTCGTTAATGATTTTTATTTCAATTACTCGTGTTTTGAATTTGGTGTGCAGCTGAAATATTGCAGAATATTTTTTTTCAGAGTAATTAATTGATTACGTAAGTTTGTTTATTCGGCTATTGTGCAGTGATGATGTGATAATTTATTGCGGAATTAATGGCGAAGTTTGGATTTTGATTTCTGGTGGATTTTGCAATCTGGTTTAGGGGGAATATGGCATGTTTAATTATTGCATAAGTTATTTGTTTCGCGATGATAGCTGAATAATATTTATTTCAGATGATTGCGATTGGTAAATTGACACACGCAATTAGACTTCAGTTAATTAATAATCAGTGTCGAAGAGTCACCAGTTTTTCTAGTGTCATGTCGAAATTTGATGTACCCAGTCGCTATAAAGATGAGAAATCCGTCTGGTAAGTTAATTTATTTAACAAATTAATTAAATTGCAATAGTGATTGCAAATTTTCATCAAATGGTAAATATTGGGTTGAGTAATTTAATTTAATCTACAAAATGAATTTATGAAATAACTCAGTACTCAATAATATTATTTATTGTAATTAAAATTATTTTACAGGGTGGAATATATTGGTCTGGCCTTGGAGTACAAACCCTTGAACTTGGGCCAAGGATTTCCGGATTTTCATGCACCAGAACACGTGACAACGGCTCTAGCAAAAACAGTTACCAGTGAAAATCCTCTTTTGAATCAATACACGAGAGGTTTTGTATGTACACTCCGTAATTATGGATGATAATAGATCAATTGGGTGTTATCTGTTGTGAGACGATATATCGAGGAGGAGATAAGAGGTGTGAATGGTTATAATGGTTAGATTTATCGTTTCAGGGACATCCGAGATTGGTGAATGCCTTAGGAAAATTGTATTCAAAATTATTGAATAGAAATCTTGATGCTAATAATGAAATTCTGGTAACAGCTGGTGCATACGAGGCTCTATTTTCAACACTTCAGGGTCACACCAATCCTGGTGATGAGTGGATAATTATTGAGCCTTTTTTTGATTGTTATGTACCAATGGTTGAGTCTGCTGGGGGAATTGCAAGATTTATTCCATTGAAATTGGTCAGTTAAAAATATAAAAATACTTGATTACACTGGTTAGTCCATAAATATTTTAATGAAATTTATTTTAGACAAAATCCGAGGGTGTATTGAGCTCAGCTGATTGGGTGTTTGATAAAAAAGAAATGGAGAGTCTTTTTAATGATAAAACTAAAGGAATTATTTTGAATACCCCGCATAATCCAGTGGGCAAAGTTTTTACACTAGAGGAACTCGAGTTTATTGCTGATTTGGCAAAAAAATGGAATGCTTTGGTGGTGTCTGATGAAGTTTATGAGTGGATGGTATATGAGCCAGCGAGACATATCAGAATAGCGACACTTCCTGATATGTATGAGCGTACTATTACTATTGGATCAGCTGGAAAAACATTTAGCGTTACTGGATGGAAAATAGGATGGGCTTATGGTCCAGTTAATCTCATGAATAATCTTAAAGTTGTTCATCAGAATTGTGTTTATACTTGTGCAACACCTATTCAGGAAGCTGTTGCTATGGGATTTGAGGAGGAATTGAAGAGATATGGACAGGAAAATTGTTATTTCCAGAGTTTAGCTCGGGAGTTGTTACCCAAGCGTGATTACATGGCCAAGTTTCTCTCGGATGTTGGCATGTCACCGACAGTACCTGAAGGTGGTTACTTCATGATTGCTGATTGGAAGTCTTTAGAGAATTATGTTGGACTTGGTGATGAGGTGGATAAGTACAGGGACTACAGGTTCACCAAGTGGATGACGAAGAATGTTGGGGTGCAGGGAATTCCACCGTCTGCTTTTTATAGCGAGGGACACAAGCATTTGGCTGAGGACAATGTCAGGTACTGCTTTATCAAGAAAGATGAAAATCTTCAAAAAGCTGCCGATGTATTGATGAAATGGAGGGCTAAACAGGCGTAATTCATTCCAGATTGTTATTTCAACCTGTAATTTTTCACATATTTTTCCATTGTTAATAAAAATTTTTTATCAATGAGTGAAGTCTCCTCTTAACCATCTCTTTGCGTCGCGGGTGTCTGATCCATACGTTTTACCGTATCTGAAAAGATATCGGTATTAAATCCTTCTTTTATTTTTTATATATTTAAGGAAATTATGGGGATCTGGTGGAAATGGCGAAATTTTTGTCAGGACCTTTTTTGTGGGGTGAAACGAGAGCTGCAGAAAAGGTCATTACGAAAATTTCGATATCTCTGTTGGATTTGAAGATATTGATCGAGAAGTTACCGATTTTTTAAATCGAATCGTTAAACTTTTTTTTTATTGCGTTAGCAAATGAAATATTTACCTGAAAGCTGCGCCGGGAATGTGCCCGAGGTAATTAGGCATCATTCCCACGTGTTTGTGATAAATTTCTGGGGGTTGAATGAGGAGGGGTGGATCCGGTCGAGAAATTGATACTGGAGCCCATTCAGCGCTCTGTCGTGATCGATAATTATTCGTAAATTCGCACAATGCGCTATTTGTCATTGGCTTATGAGATCCACCAAAATGATCATGACTGTGAGGAATATGTCCGGTATATCCTGCATGAAAATTAATTAAATATCAACCAAATCAACCAAAAGATTAATTTCGTAATTTGATTTTTTTTTGTGTTATAATTTTACTGTTTATACCAACTTGCTATTGGTGAGGGCATAATTGAACAGCGATTCAGTTCACTGAATTACCGAGGGACTAATAACGAATTTAAAATAATTTGCATCCGCGGAAAATGTCAGGGAATCGTGGGAAACAATTGACGGATGGAAACAATTGCTATTACCGTTAACAAAGTATTTTTCATCGTTAGTATTATCCATGAAATAGGGCGAGGGATTGTGGCTCTCTGGGGGATGACAGGCTTCCTCGACCGGTAAATTTCTCATCATTAGGGCCCAATCGGGACGAACTGTCATCAGTGGCATTTTGAATTCAGTCTTCTTCATCTGATATTCATAAAAAAAAAGAACTCCAATTAGCAAAAAGAATGAATAATCGGTTGTACTCCAGTCTTCAACGATTCAACGATTTAAAACGATTTATTTCGTTGAAATCGAAATCTTTTGCAGAATGATCTTTTTTTTTTCTTGTTACTATTCGGTCTGATAGACTCCTTGGCTCTGCCATTCCGCTTTGATGTGCAATGACATTTTTCAATTGATTTAATGCCGATCGATCTTTCAATTGCTGACGCTCGAAGTCGGCGAGGCCTTCTGTTGCCGATACTGTGTACCTCTGACCCAATCTGGCATTCAGGTTCGGCATGAATCCTGAATGTACCGGGATTTTAATGGGTATATTGCGCAAGGGGTCATTGAATTTGGCAATCACCTTGGTAACCTGGTATAATCGGATACTTGTATGTTGCGTCCATTCGTTTTGTGCGGGCTGTCACGATGTCTAAATCATCCTTGGGTGGTCTCATCACCTGGAGTCATTAAATCACTGATTAACTTCAATTATTCCTTTTAAAAAAAACAATTCAACAACTCAACAAACAATTTATTCCTAAAAATTCGTTTTTATGAAATTCTTTTTTTTGAAAATCTCATGATTAAATTGAGTTTTACCCACAAAAAAATTATTCACTCCCTTTATTTCACATAAATAATTCATTTAATAATGAATTTTATTGATGATTTAGATAAATTGTTGAAATGCTTTTTAAAAGGAATTGTTAATGAATATTTAATTGATCGGAGGGAATGAAATTTTAACGGTGCTATTGATTTTTTGAAAGTGAAAATAAAACCTCGTAATCATCAGCGGATCGATTAGACAAGATCATTGTTTCAGATCTATCGATAGTTCCATCCAATAGTAATTTATGGGTAACATTGCCGTAAGTTTCGCCACATCTGTATCGATACTGGGGACAGAAGCCCGCATACCTAATTCAACAATAAAAAAATAAATATTTAATTGCTCTTTGTTGCTCCCCTATGGGTTGAATAATTACAAGGACTTACCCGGGAAGAAAATGTGGCTCTGGTGTTGTTAATAGTGAAACTGTCGCCATCGTTTTAGGATCTTTTGTGCAATAATAATTTCAGTTCTCTCTTGATTAATTAAATGATGCAATCATGATTTGTGGACGGGAATTTAATCGGTTGTTTGGACGCTGCAATCGTCGCTGAATTTTACATCACATTTTTTTCGATTTATCGGTTATTTGGTTATGTGAAACAATTGCTGGGGGATTTTTGGGAATTGTGGGAATTTTGGGAATTGTGGGAATTGTGGGAGGGGGAGTATTTGAAAATTAATGAGATTCGTTATTTCAAATAATTTCAAATGATTTTGAATTATGTGAAATTTCGTGATTGCAACGATTTCAGATGATTCAATTGGATTTTAGTTGTTTTTTTATGGAATTTTGGAAATAATTTAATCGAGGTGTGACACCACTGATTTCACCAGGGAATAGTCTCTCGGAATTATGAATTCCCCCTCCATTATGGTTACCACTTTGGGTTCCACGTTTCTTCCAGGGTCATGAGTGGGAATAGAGCATTGCGTTACCAGACGCAGCAAGAGTCACATCCGTTATTTTGTTGTTTGTTTTTTTATTGATGAATTATTGAAAATCAGGTGTTGATCTGTGAGATTTTGTGGGGATGAGTATTGAGTTGTGATTATTTTTTTATTGTGCTCGATGATAAATCATTGTCATGTGGTTTCATCAAGAGATGAATTCCAAGTTTTATGTTGACTCGGATTATGAGTCCCTCAGTTTTAATAATTCCAAGGTAATTACTCCGTTAATTTCATTTGCAATCAGTCTATTCAGTTAATCGGTATGTGATGATTTATCAATTGTTTTTGTATTTTGAGTTTTTTTTTTTTTGAGGTGGAAGGGACAATTTTGCATTTTAATAAATGGAGTTGAAGTGAAAATCATTGATTTTTATTTTATTAAATCATTGATTTTTATTTTATTAAATCATTGATTTTTATTTATTAAATTATGAAAATTATGGAAATTATGGAAATTATTTAGAGGAACTGATGCAATTATTACGTAGACGATCGATATCTTTGTTACGTCGATAATTAGCAAATAGTATTCTCTTGACTCGAGATGATTTAATTGCAAATAATACTCAACTCTTATTTTTTTTCCCTGTACTTTCATGGGTGAAACTCTTGAATTTCGAATTGTCAGAGTGTAATGTTTTCTACTGGGTAATTCAATTTCAAATAAAATAGAGGTAAAGAAAGTGGAAATTCAGGGAAGACTGGATGGTTGGATGAATTTCATGGCAACGACATTGGTATAAATACGCGGAGGCGTTTCGACTATCTCACTAAGAAATCATTAACAATAAAATGTATTCTACACCTTTGGAAATCGTGTTTCTACGATGTTATAAAACTTTGAGATTTGTGAGGGTTCGGTGTGTGAGGCGAAAAAAAAAAACATTTATTGATGTTTCTTTTGCAATTCTCTTTTTATTTTATCTTTATTTATTTTACATTTTTATACGAGCCACATTATAAATTTATAGATTTTACATCAAATCTCGGATCGAATTTTATTTTCAATTAAACTACAATAATTTTTTCGTTTAATTGATATTAAATTCACATTTTTCATGGAATTCATTCATTAATTCATATTGTTTAAAAATTATTGTTAAAGATGATAATTTTTTACAAGACTCTCACTTTTCCATCGTTAGGGCAAATTTTTTTTGTAATGATTCTTCTTGTAAAAGTAGAAAATCATTTAATTGAAGTAAAAAATCGAAAAAAAGTCCTGGGATATTAATAGGTAAATAAAATTTCTCCTGGAATTCTTCTCGCAATTAACCTAGCCTGGGATGAAATAAATATTGGATTTTCCAGTTGTGGAGAATAGAGTCATTAGGTGGATCGTAAAATAAAAATAATTCAACAGCAATAGGTTAAATAATTCCCCATAAATACGCGAACTGTGCAGTAAATTTTGTGAAATATTGGACACAGTGTCGTAGAAATAATGTTTCTTTTTTTTTATTTATCTTTTTTTTTTTGTAAATTGAAAGGGGGTGGGATAGAAAGACCAGGTGTCCAGCACCAACGTCCGGTAGTTGGTGTAAGTCATACATTTTCCGTGTACACGCAATCCCATAAACAGCGAGTACGTGCCGAGACGATATAATGAATTTTATTCATGTTTTTTTTTTTTTTTAACATTGCACTGTATTCGTGAGTTTGTATTTAACATTGTGATCCACGGTGGGATGTTCAATATGCCTCTGCTTACCGGAAACTGTGGCATTATCACTCCAGTGGTTCGTTGACTCGGTTTTACCTAGAAAATAAAAGCACATTAATGCGTATCAGATTAGCACTCTTCTCTTATGGAGGAAGTTGACGATGAAATTACAGATTACATTATCAGGAATCTTGAAAATTCAAATCTCTAGGCGACATTTTTTTTTTATGTATTTTTTTTTTTTTTCATGTATTTCAAGTTATTCATTTATTTATTTACTCGGTTTCAAAGAAATTATTTAATTATTAATTACGTTATATTTTTTTGAAGAAATGAAGAAATGAATGAATAAAAGAATAAAATATAGTAAGATATCGACAATAAATTTTTTTTTTGAAATTTGAAATTTCAAAAAATTTTGAATAATTCGCGGTTTCCCGGTGTTAAATTCATTTTTTTTTTTTCATGGGGAAAATTCAAAAAAAAAAATTAATTTTCACTCGTTGTTAGGGGGAAGGAGTGTGAGGGGGTTAGGGGGTGGTATTGAAAGATCGAGGAGACGTGTAATCGTGGATAGAGCCAAGGGGCGTTTGAATCGCTTCATTGTATTGTTCTCCATTGTATGGGATTTTGATAAAAGAGGAAGGATCTTGCACGTAATACATTTCCCCCCCATCTGAGTCATCGCACGCGCCAGTACGTGGCTCGTAAATTAAAGTCCCTTTTTTTGTTCATTTTTGTTTGTTTTATTTTTTTTTATTATTATTATTTTTCGTTATGGGAGGCACGTGAGGGATTCGGTGGTTTAAAAAAAAAAATAATATTCGAGATCTATTATTTGAATGAAGGTAGATGGAGGGTGAATTGTAATTCGATATTCTCAGGTCTGAAGATCGATACTTCCTTGTTTATTGTGTCTCGAGATATTGTTAATGCTTTACTATTAATTTTTATTTTTTCATTTTTATAAGGTGTCGGTTTACCGATTTTACTTCACAATGAATTCCATTTTTTTTTTTTTTTATTTGAACAATCAATTATTTTTTTATTCATTTTTATTGAATTATTCTGACTATTAAATGATTTATGGAAATTGGGGAATTGGGAAATTGGGGGATTGGGAAATTGAGAAATTTGGAAATTGGAAAATTTGGAAATTGGAGAATCGGATGAGTTTAGAATTTTGTGATAATTGTTTTAAAAAAAAAAATCCAGATGCAATTTGAAGTGGTGAATTTTGGATTCATCTGTCCTCAATCGTGACCTCACGGTGCATTCCTCGAGATAAGGGGCCACTGGGTCAACAAGTCGAGTGCAACAGCATCTCAAGACTTGAGAGAGACTTGAGTCTCACGAGTCAACCCGATTTAATCCTCTCCATTTCCAGTTTGCCAATCTCTTAATCAGTGCAAAAGGCCACATACAGAATTTTTTCGTTTGGTTTAACAATGAATTTTTGGTTATAAGTATTTCAGTGTGGGAATGGAATTGATTTTTTAAAGGGTACCATCTAGGAGATGTGGATCTCACTGGAGAACAAAGAAACTCGAAGATGTGGTTCACTGGGAGAGAGTTATTTTGATTGATTGTTGTTGGGAGGATTTGGTAATTGATGTGCCTGTCATGAGGAGGAAGCTAGTTAATGAAGGAAATGAATTTTGAGGGTACTTTATTCTCATTTTTTTTAATTGGGCATCAACCCAAATTTTCTTGATGATCTGCTGATGCAAAAAAGAATTATCGATGTGAGCTCATTTATTAATTTTTTTTTTTTGAGTCTCGATATCTCAGAAACTATTGATTTCCCGAAAAAACATGAGGTGATCTTTTTTATCGATCATTGAAAGATCTACAAAAAAGGTCATTACCACTCTCCTCGTAAACCACTAATTATCACCATAAATCGATGTTTCATCTCTCCACTGTAATTCACCCAGTAATGATTTTCATTTCAAATAATCCCGCGCCCCATATCGATCATGCGCAGTTGTAAAAATCGAGGTGAACCCGTTGTGGGCCCACCAGCGACCTGTTGGTGGTTCCAGTGGTTCAGGTTCAGGTTTATTTTTTCAGTGAGCGATCGGCGCTCGAAATGTCAATTAATTCTCCATTAGACAAAATAATCAATCATTTATTTAAAAAAATGTGGAAAAAATGGTGAGTGACAGGATCTCTTCTTTAAAAATAATTCCTGAACCCAGTGAATGTCTTGATACGAAAAAATTCTTCGGGGGGGCCTGCCCCCCCTCCTTTCCCACCCCCTCCCCTATGTACAGCGAATGCAATTGCGATTGCATCGGCAATTCCACGGTTTAATGTCAAGACGTTTGTTCCAACTTTTTTCATATACCAGGGGGACAAAATGCCGATTACATACCCGAATGCGTATTTTAAATGCGGTATATACACGATTATATAGGGCTGTATATAAGGTCATTTACAACCCGGTTAGACTGAATGTGGAGCGATGTGCCAGGTTAACTCAGGTCGATTGAAGGTTAATGGAAGTAATGTCAAGGGTCATACGTTCACCATCACCTCGTTTTATCTCATCATATTCATTTTGAAAAATTATTTGTGACGGTGAAATTTATTTTTTGGTCAAATTCATGTACGGGAATTGGTTTATTTATTTTTATTTTATGTTGAGTGGATTTTATAAATTTTTAATAGTTTATTTAGTTGGAGAGAATAAATTGGATTGAATTGAATTAAATATTGATAATGTTCAATGAACATTCAATTTTTCTTTTAATTTAGGAATTATTGGAATATTTATTGGCTTGATGGATAATTGATGAATAATTAATTCGGGGAGGTGGGGTAATTATTCTCGGGTAATATTTGGAATTATTTCGGCGTCTAGAGGAGGTAAAAAATGAATTTGCATTGATTGTTAATAATTATTCTGCACAAATGACGAAATTAATGTTTGGAAAATTCTTGGGTCTTGCTCGACAGTTGGAACACCTGCTGCCGGTCTTAGTGGGGGTTCCCCGAGTTTTTCAAGGAGGATGAGTAATTTTTTTTGGGTAATCCCCTGTTTTTTTTGGGGGGGGGGGCAGGTGGGAGGGGGGATAAGCTGTTTATTGCCCGTTTGCAAAACAAAGTCAAGCGAAAAAAAAGAAAAATGGAGGATCTCCATGAATTGGGGGCTTACAATAGAATATTTCAAGTAGCTTGCAACAATAGTTCTCATTCCTTGACAAAAAAGTCTGTCCCAGACACTCTTGAAATAACCGGTCCGTTATTCATTGTCACCAACACGTGACTCCAACAACTCATTACCGACAATTAAACCCGAACGAATGGCACAGCGTACGTCTCAATTGTCGCGTTACTTATTTTTATTTTTTTTTATTTTTCCTCATTGAGTCAATGGGTGCGGTTCAACTACCAATTACGCAAGTCCCAACATTCTTGTCCTCTAGATTATCTCTAAAATAATAACTTGCACTTTTTTTTTCTCTCTCTCTTTCTTTCTCTTTACGGGGAATTTTTTCTGCCGCTTCTCACGGTCGGGACAACTCCTGGTGCATCGGGAATTGT